AAATCAAATTAAATTATCTGCTTTCATTCAAGAAGTACAAAAAGTGGATGGTAAAAAAGAAATAGATTTCTCAGAAATTAGTGTTTACACAAAAAATGAAGCAACAAAAGAAATTGCTCAAATGTATTTAGATTCTTTAGAACAAATGATTTATGCAATAGATGACTCAAAGTGTAAGATGTCTCAAAGTGATAAATTTGCTTATAAATATGGTTTCACTAAATTAATCACATCAAAATGTGAGAGTGAATGCAAATCCATTATTATTAATACACTTGGATTATCAAATAAGAAATATAAATTAATGTTAGAACAAATGCATTCAGATTTTCAAAGAGAAAGAGATGAACACAATGAACTCAGAAAGAGGTATAATGAGAAACAAAAAGAACAAATAGTAGAATTACCATCAGTTGACTTATCTTTAACATTGAAGAATAAGAAAACATTAACAAATCAGGAGTGTCTAAACTTTCTGGATGATTTAACATTAAGTAATAAAGAGCTCAATGACAAATTCAAAAGAATCGGTGTATCTGAGGAATATCCAAATGTTTCCAGAGCTTATGTCAAAAAAGGAACATCTAAAGAAAATAATATTATTCAACGAATAAAATCCTAAAGACCAATACTCCTTTAGGTCATTAGGATTTATGAATTCGAAGAATCCAATACCCATTTTGAAAAATGCTTTTGGTCATTAGGTTTTACAATCCAATACCCAAATAAATACTTGGAAGATCTTTCTTTTTTTTATTTTTTTCCTCTTCGAAGCAATTCATCTAATATGGAATGAATCTTATTATATTCTCCATTATTACCAGCTTGATAAGAACCAATACTCAAACGAAGTGAATTCATAAGAGCATTAATGCTGGATGGCAAAATGATTGTTTGATTAAGGGAACTTCCTGTAGCTGTTGTTGTTGAACTACTTTGACTCTTGGGAACACTACTTTCAGTAGCTTGAGCTTTCGCGACAAAATAATTATCTTTAATGAATTTCCATTTATCACTAGCATCAGCGTTATATCTTTTACTACTTTTATCAAATTTTTGATACAATGCGTCTGAACAAAGTAAGATTTCTCGATAATTTTGAGTATCATCATTCTTAATTTTATTGAGATCTGGAGATTTTTTTAGTTAGTAATTCCATTAAACCATTCGTTGCTTCATATTCTACATTATTGATTTCCAATGTATTGTCTTCAAAGCTTACTTCTTTATTTCCAATTGAATAGCCTTTCGTATCATTATTATACCTTATTGAATATCCTGCATTACTTTTATCTCTAGGATCTTGAAGATAAGTAGCAATTAAATTACTTACCTTGATTGATGGACTTTGACTTTTTAAACTATTTTGGATTTGTTTAGTAGGAGTCGTGATATTTTGAGATGCATGAGATGCTATTGCTTGAGAAGTCATCGGAGATCCTTTAAATTTCACAAGTGAATCCGAAGGAGATCCTTTGAAACTATTAAGAGTTTGAACTATCTTATTCTTTTCATCTATGATTTCTTCTTGTAGTTTCTTATTTGATTCTAATATTGGTTTGAATACTTCTATACGATAATCTTCTACGTTTTCTAAATTGCTGCGCTCTTCTAAATTCTTGAATTTGTGTTCTTTTCTATTCTTCAAGAATGAATTTATTATCTCATTCCTTTTCTTGGGATCATAGATTTCTACTGAAGTTGGAGGCATTTTTTGAAAAAGTAATTTATTTAAATTCGAAGAATCCGGAGATTTACAATCTTTATAAAAAAATTATTGTATTTATAAATGGAGAAAATTACTCAAGAAGTAAGTTTCCAAAATATTTCTTTAAATTCAACACCTGTCGAAGAAGAAGATCTAAAGAAAATGAAAAGAGATGAAGTTCGTAGAAAAGTTGCAATGATTGGAAGTGAATTGAGAAAAATACATTCTCAAATCCAAAAGAAATCCAAACTATGAGAAAAACAAGAGATGATTGATTTTATTATGAAGTTCAAAGACATTACTTCACTGAGTTAGAAATTTAGATTTTTTTCTTGAAAAATTTTTTTCTATATAAAAAAGGAAGTCTTACATCCTTCTAAGCTTTTTGAAAAAAAGTAATTACTTCTGAAAAAAATGGATCATTTCGAAAAAATGTCAAGAGATGATCTTCGTAAAGAAGTTATTAAACTTCTTGATATAATGTCCGGAGGTGTAAAAAGTAAAAGAATCCTCAAATCACAACAATTAAGATCTATGAGCACTTCAGAACTTCTGACATTTATTAGAGAACATTTACAAATAAACCAAGCTAAAAATTAGAGATGTTCCACTTACGCTTAAGGAAGTATTTCCCTTCGAAGATCTTATTTTTTTAGTGATTACAAAAGAAACTAAAAAAAGGAATTGTAAGAACTACCATGTATAGAAACAAAGGCAAAGAAATATATTTTTGAAAAAAATACTTTGACCTTTTTTTGAGAAAAAGAGGAATTGAATATTATATGAAAAATCATCACAAAAAAATTATAAATTCTTTCTTTGAAAAAGAACGAAAAATTTTGTGATCAATGATATTCGAAGTGATACTTCAGTTAAAATATATTTGAAACTAGAATTCAAGCAAAAGAAAGACTCTCAAAAAAGTGAAAACTTTGCTGTAAGATCAGAAACTAAGGAATTGTGTGTTGGTGAAGATCGAGAAGAATGGTATCAACATGCATGTCAAGAACTGATGATGAACATGGAGAATTTGCAATCAAGAGGTTCTGGTTGGACTATTTCAGGAATAAATTACCTTGAGATGAACCAGACTATGTGTCATTCACCTAGTGGTTCTTCCTACATGGATCTTCCAAAATGTATTAATGTTAAACATTGCGTCATTAATCCTAAAAATAATGATGACAAGTGTTTTATGTGGTCTATATTAGCTCATCTTCATCCAGCAAAAGATCATGTTTCAGAAATTTATAATTACACTCCTTATCAAAATGAACTAAACTTTGGAGATCTAACTTTTCCAATGAAAATAAAAGATATAAATAAGTTTGAGAAAATGAATGATCTTGTTGTAAATGTGGTAGAATGTACTGAAAAAGGACAAATAAATCCATTACGTCCTTCAAGAGGAATCACTGCTGATGATAGCAAAGTTATCAACTTATTATATTATGAAAATGAAGAAGGAAATTCACATTACTCCCTAATCAAAAATCTTGATACCCTTATGAATAAACGAGGAGAGCATCAAAAAAAGTTCTGTGTTAGATGTCATTGCTCTTATAATGTAAATATGAATGATAAGATTAGATCAAATTATCACAGACATTTAGAGGACTGTGGTAAAAACAAACCGGTTTCACACAAACTATCCAAGAAAACATCTGTAAAGTTCAAAAATATCAGTAATACACAAAAGCATAGATACGTCATTTATGCAGACTTTGAAAGTATCATTGAGAAATATCAAAGAGCACTAGATAATCCAAATATATCTTGGACTACTGATGTTGGAAAACACATTCCAGCTGGATTTTGTGTCATAGTAGTTGATTCTTTCACCAAAAAATTGTATAGTATCAAATCTTATATTGGGCATAATACTGCGCTAGAATTTAATAAATACATCATTAAAATATCTCAAGAAATTATGCATTTAGGTGATGTGGAAATGAGAGAATTAACTGAAGAAGAATGGACTTTCCATGATGAGAATAAAGAGTGCCCTAATTGTTCAATAAAGTATGATTCTAAAGAAATGAAAACGACTAAAGTTAGAGATCATGATCATTGGACTGGAGAATATCGTGGACCTCTTTGTGGAGCATGTAATCTATTGAAAAGAAAAAATACCTTCATTCCGATATTCTTTCACAATCTTAGAGGTTATGACTCTCATCTGATTGTTGGATGTCTTGAAAGTACTAAATATTTGAATGAGCATGAAATTGACATCAAAAATATTTCTAGTAACACAGAAAAATTTATTAGTTTTAGTTACAAGTTACCTTCAGAGACAGATAATGTATATGATAGATGTGAATGTAGATTTCTAGATTCTTTTTCTTTCATGCCTTCTTCACTGGATAAACTTGCTAGCAACTTGAGTGAAGATCTTTTTCATATTAGTAGAGATTATTACTCTTCTTCCAAAGAAAAATTCGAATTGATGCAAAGAAAAGGTGTTTATCCATATGAGTACATGGATTCTTTCAAGCGATTTCAAGAAACAAAATTGCCAAGTATTTCAGCATTTTATGATTATCTAAATGGTAAAAAATGCTCGCAAAACGATTATCTGTATGCTAAGTTAGTTTGGAATAAAATGAACTGTAAGAATTTAGAAGATTATACTGAAATTTATATGATCAATGATGTCCTTCTCTTGGCAGATGTTTTTGAGAATTTTAGAAACTTGAGTCTCCGGGTTTATGAACTTGATCCTTGTTGGTACTTCACAAGTCCTGGATTAGCTTGGGATGCTATGTTGAAAAAGACTAAAGTGGAATTAGAAGTACTCCAAGATGTTGAGAAATACTTGATGATTGAGAAGGGAATAAGAGGTGGAATAGTTAATGCTGTTAAAAGATACTCTAAGGTTAATAATAAATACACTAATACTTTTTGATCCATCAATTCCTTCAAATTATCTATTGTACTTAGATGCCAATAATTTATATGGTTGGGCAATGTGTCAAAATTTACCTACTGGAGATTTTCAATTCGAAACTCAATCTTCAATTGATATTCTCAATGATGAGAGTTTAAAAATAGAGGACTATATTGATTATTTGAAAAATTTAGGTAAAGGATGTATTTTCGAAGTAGATTTGGAATATCCTAAAAATTTACACTCAAAGCACAATGATTTTCCTTTGTGTCCAGAAAATGTAAAAATTAATAAAGAATCAAAGATTCCCGGAACCATAGGTTTTAAGCAAACAGTAAAAAAGTTATGCAATACCTTATTCGATAAAGAAAAATATGTAATCCATTATAAGAATTTGCTACAATGTCTCCAATTAGGTCTTAAAGTGAAAAAAATTCATAGAATTCTAACCTTTAAAGAAAGTGATTGGCTCAAAGAATATATTGAAATGAACACTAATCTTCGAAAAACAAACAAAAAATGAGTTTGAAAAAGATTTCTTCAAATTAATGAATAACTCAGTTTTTGGAAAAACTATGGAAAATGTTAGAGAACGAGTTGATGTTCGTTTAGTTACTGATGAGGATAAAAATAGTTAAGCTTGCTTCAAAAACCTAACTTTAAAAGAACCATTATGTATAATGAAGAGTTATCTGCTGTAGAAATGGAGAAAACCAATATAACACTTGATAAACCTATTTATGTCGGTTTTGCTATTCTAGATCTGAGTAAGTGGTTGATGTATGATTTTCATTATAATGTAATGCAGAAAAAGTATGGATATCAAAATGTAGAGTTATGTTATCAAGATACTGACAGTCTCATATATGACATCAAGACTGAAGATTTCTACAAAGATGCGGAAAAAGATATAGATTTTCAAAAATATTTCGATTTTAGTGATTATCCGAAAGATCATGTATTATACTCAGAAGAAAATAAAAAAGTTGTTGGAAAATTCAAAGATGAATTGAATGGTAAAATTATGACTGAATTACTTGCTTTAAAACCTAAACAATATGGTTTTAAGACTCTAGATGGTGAAGAAACTAAGAAAAGTAAAGGAATAAAGAAAAATATTGTCAAGAATGAACTGACACTCGATGATTATAAGCATAGCCTTTTTTTAATAAGACTATTATTAGGAAAACTCAATATACTATCAGAAGTGTTAAACACACTATTTTCACACAATGTCAGAATAAAGTAGCTCTTAATAACTCTGAAAATTCTACAGAACATAAACGTTACATAATAAAAGATAATCACTCGACAATGGCATTTGGAAATGTGATTATCAAACCGGAGGTTCTGGGAATCTGAGATTCTTGTATTAAACCGAATCTTTTATAGAAATGATAAAAACAATATCTTGAAAGTCTTTAGTTTCTAGTAGTTTCAGAAGAAGTAAGCAATAATAACCACAGTGATGACTTGCGAAGTCTTGAATTTGAAATGTTGAACTCAATATTTTTATTTTATCTTCTCCATTTTTTAAATATTCTTGAAGTTCTAAAGGTGGATCTAATCCGAACGAATCAAAGTAATATATTTTATCTTTATTTTTGGAATAACAAACCCAATGTGTTCCTATACCTTCAGAAGAATCTAAATTTACAATACCTACTTCTTTATCTTTCGGCTTCGCTGGTAAAGTATCTCGCATAAACACACCACGGAAGTTCTTAATCTTTAATAATACTACTAATTCTAAGAGGTCAAGATTTGTTAATGCCTTTAGATTTGTATCGAATCTCAGATTCGTCATTTAATAGCAATAAAAACAATAAATACAAGTGAAAAATTGTAAGTGGGCAAAATGGTCACTTCTACGTCCAGCCTAAAAAGTGTCGTTTTTCAAAAATGACTGATTTTCGATGAGCTTAGGCACTTTTCTGATGAAAATAAGCGTTACAATAGTCAAAAAGTGCAAAAAACGTCATTTGGGCAAAATGACCGTCCAGCGTCAACCATTTGTATACTACTCAGATTCAACTCGGTCGGCAACAAGTCGTGCTTCAACCTCTGCGTCAACAACTGCATGGTCGACGTCTCCAAGTGCCTCGACAGCAACTATGCGTAGGTCCTACTCTCAGAACAAGCTCAAGAAGTTCGACTCCAGATGCGCCATCAAGAAGACGCCCATCGGAGGCAACAACGACCTGAAGAAGAGCGGCTGCGACAAACTCTTCTACCCCGCCTGGTACTTCACTACTCCAGCCCCCGGAAAGTAAAAGTTCTGTCGGATGTGCTGAATAAACGACGAAGAAGCATTCTTTTTCTGATTTCGCATTGTCAAAAAGAAGATCGCTTGCCTCATATACCAAAGATGAGAGTCAGCGTAAGCCGCCGCAAGTCGGTCGCACCAAAACAGGGGATCTCCGCCTCTCGACCCTTCAGACAGCTTTGCGCTGGGGCGATAACGTGACCAATGAGGCTCTGCCGAGGTGCGTTTATTGCTGGTTGAAAACTTTTCCCAATTGCCCGCGATGGACTCTGAAACACGAGTTCCATACGCAATTTTTGAACGGCCCGAGGGGCCAGAATGACATTTGAAAATGAAAATAGATTCAATGTGACTTGACTTCTTGGAGTGTTTAGTTTATCACAGTATGGTATACTGGTTGAAAGTAATTATAGATGAAAAGAGATTGTCATTATACATTCTTTATTCTATCCTTATTATTTTATGGTTATCGTCTCATTCATATCTTCCGTCTTTATTTCTTTTTCCTGAGATTTAATCTGACTTGCGCCAGCCGGGCGACGTACTTTTCCTACCATGGAGAAGCAGCTCATCGTCGACACGCTAACCTTCTACTACTATCATTTTAAAAAGTGCGAGACGATCTACGCGGTTCTTCAACGACTCCCCAGAAAAAGCCTGAAGATGTGAAATATTATTAGAAATAGGTGAAAATGGAACACAAGTATTTTTTTTGTGTAAACTTGGATCTTTTTCGGGATGAAAAAAAATTGAATCGACAGAAAAAATTTATGAAAAAAATTATGATTCATGAATGCATAAAAATGGAGAAAAATGTATTAAAAAAAGGAATGAGAAATTAGAGATCGAAGAAAAAGTCAATTGACAGGAACTTTGTCAAAATTCAAGCAATCACTAAATTTCAAATGTTTTCAAGGGATCATAGTACAATGATACAGACAGTAAATATCAATCAATCATTTCAATAGTTTCGACTGGCCGGATGACGTCATTCGGCTCTAACTTCGGGGCTTTCGTCTCAATTTCCTCGTCCAACTTTTTAACAACCTGAAAAAAATTCTTAATGTTTGGACTTTAATTGAAGAACCAACATGCTCTAGATCTGCTTTAACATTAGAATAGAAGCTTCTGATCATATCCACCGACTTCGTTCCAATCACTTCGGCAACGGCCGCAAAATTCTCACCGTAACGCATGAAGCCTGCAATTTTTCGGTTCTAAGAAAAAGAAAGAATATTATTTTCTAGAAAATTCCAACTCTATCCTGTCGCGAAAATCATCTTTTTCACTCTGAATTTCTCTGAGAAAAAAAGAATAAATTTTTTTACTAATTGTCTGCTTTTTTTGTACTCTTCTTTGAAACCAAGTTCATATCTCAGTTTGAACTTGAATCATTCGAACTTCAGAAATGTGATTTTCAAAAAGTTTAAATCACAAATAATCTCAAAATCCCAAATTTTTCCTCCAACTTCTATCTACATAAAGTTATTCATCATTTCCGCTGAAATTTTCATCGAACGTGATCTGAATCGCAAAGCCGCGACCTTGATAAAAAAAGGCAATCTTCTTCAAACAAATCAAAGACCAACATAACAAGGCGTCGCCACGTTCTTTCTCAGACCAAGTCGGGCTGACTTTTGAGTAACTTCTCGAAAAACTCCGAGGAGTTCCAGTGATTTCATCATCGGCACGGAAGATTCGGTCCATGCGTTCTCTGGAAAAGTTTGTATTGAATAGTTTTTTCTTGTTTTTTCGGGTTTTTGAGGCTCTTAGAACATAATCATCTCTTTACAAACGGAGTTAATGATTGTGACACATTTTGGGAAAATAAAACCAACTTGGCGGCGGCGACGCTGGCCTTCAGAGACTCGTATTTGACTCTTCGGAAGACTCTTTCTAGTTGAGCGTTCTCGAAATGCTTCCGCTCGATCATTTTCTTCGTTTCCCTGAAAATCAAAGAAGTTTAGTATTGAACTCGCATATTTTTGATCATTCATATTATTTCTTTTTTTCAAGCTTTGAAAAAACGTTTTTTTCTCTGAAAATTCCTACTATTGATCAGAATAGAATACGAAACTTCAGCTTTGAAAATTGAAAGGCCTCAATATTCTAAGAAACCTGAACCTGTTTTATACTGATCAATCTCTACGGTGTTTAAAGAACCACAGACAAAATTTATAGAAAGGAAAGTTTTTTTCAGGTCGCAAAAGTATTCTTCACATAACTACGAAATCCTTGTCTTAAACCAATTATGAACATATCTATCAAGCCCCAGTAATTGTGGTTTTCTCAGATGTCATCTCGACAAATCAGAAAATCCAGCTCACTCGATAGCCTTCATGCAGACGGTCTTCCGCCGGCGAACAACCGAGACGTTCGGGACGACTTTTTCGGGCGTCGCTTCTTCGGAGCCGGCCTCCGGGTCTGGCTGCTCCTTTCTCGGCTCCTCTCGTTTTTCGTGCTCGTCGTACAGAGGAGCTCCCGCTCGCACCATTTCTTCGACGTCTTGTTTGGAATCGCTGTCCGAGGGATCCTCGATCGGGTTTCCGTCCTCGTCCAGGATCCTGGCCATGCTTAAGAAATCGTCGGCAATCGACTGCATCACTAAAAAAAAGCGATACTCAGTGACAGCATTTTTTTGAGTTTCGCACATTTTTCTGTTTCATAACCTGGCAAAGTTTCCAGAAAAATTATCAAAAAATGTGCCTTTTTAGCATTGAAAACATGACTGAAACTCCTTGTTAAAAATTTATAATTCACAAACACCCTCTAAATTCCGCCCCCAGCGTCTCAAACCGAGAAAGATGGAGAACGTGTACTTGATGAACGAACCAGTGGGACAAATGCAGTTGGACTGGCGGACATTGTCAATCGTGCTTCGAAGGTTCACCGGTCTTGGCATTTTCGTCATTTTCATGTAGGTTACGCAGACCGTGCACTCCATTTTGCCCGTCAGGTGGTTTTCCTGCAAGAAAAAAATTTATATTAATTTGAAATAGTGATTTTTTTATTTATAAGAACTTTCTTTAAAAGCTAATGGCTCACTCAAAACCAGAAACTCTCCCAGCTGTTTTTGATAGACGATTTTAAAAAAAGTTCGAAAAAAGTTCATTTTTCGCTATTTTTTTAACAATAAAGCCTTTAAAAAAATGCGACTATAGCGGAAAAAGATAAAAAAATTTGAAGAAAAAGCACTTTTCATAAGACTCCTTTCCAATTCAAAATTTAAATTTAAAACAAAATCAAACCTCAAGCCTCGAAACTTTCTCGGCACAATGTTCACAAGCTCCCGTCACATACTCCAATTCATCTTCCGAACTTCAAAAATAAATCTTTTTTTTCATCAATTAATAATTTTTTACTCGGTATCATCGTCGTCGACCAAATCGGCCATTTTCGCGTCGATCGAACTTTTGTAAGACATTTCCTTCTTCGTGTTATAATAGTGTTGAATAATGGAAGCCATTGGGCGGTAGGGAATCTTGAAAAAATAATTATTACAAAATAAATGTTCAGTTAGGATTTTACCAAAGCTCGGATTCTATCAAAACGCTTTCCGTAGCTGTAAAAAGCCGTTTTGAACAAATTTTCCTCCTCTGGCGTCCATTCATCGGTTATCCAACGCCGTTTTTCCAACTTAATATTGAAGATTGTCGAAATCTCAACTTTTAAAATAACCTGATCCGTGGCTATGTCGAAATTGTACTTGCTCTTCATCAAAATGAACAGAGACTGAAAATTGAATATATTGTAAAAATATTAACTTTTTAATTTATCACCCGATCAATTGGCATATTTTTTGCTACCAGCGCATTCTCGCAGAAATTATCGACGGCCGCGGGGTCCAAGTTTTCCGGAAAGGTCCAAATTAACTGAAAAGCTAGTTTATATTTTTCATTTTCTGAACTAAAATACTTCATCTCGATCGGAATCAACGCTAGCGAAAGATTCATCAGAAGTTGGATCCTCTTCATTCAACTTGGCTTGATGTTCATCGCCAACTTGGATCGTTTTTTGGGACTTTGATAGAAGGCGTCCAGTTGCTGAAAATGTCCTCTTTGATTGAATATTTCAGGATATTTCCCACTTCTGCGATCTCCTGGAAAAGTATCTTCATCATTGGAATCACTATCCGACCGTTTTCTCTTGATCCGCTGTCGATTCGAGCGTCTTTGCTGCAAATTTTTTTTTATTTTCTCCATCATTTATTATTTTCACCGCTGCCGGTGGAACCTCGCTACTTTCCCTCGTTTCACTCGGAGCCGCGGAAGAATCTAAAACTTTCCATGAAAAAAAAAATCTCCCTTTCCGAAATACCTTCATCCATTTCCAATTGCTCCTCGTCTTCGTATTTCGGTTCCTCTTCTTTTTTAGACGATGATCGAGTGGTAGACGTGCGCTTGAAAGTTCTCACTCTTATCTTTTCAATCAAAGAAATAACTTACCTTTGTTGCCGACATGGATGGATCGGGATCCAAAGCAGAAAAAGAAAAACAGGAACGCGCTTCTCAAAATTACGCCTTTGCCGCAGACATCAGATTTCAGCTGCAGACAAAACGCATCCTGACGCGCAAAATCGTTCTGCGTGGGATTTTTAAATTTTTCCTTCTTTTGTGATTTTCACTGGTTTTTCTTTGTTACAAAGCCTTCTGAAGGGTGTATAGTCAGTTCAAAAGTATGTACGTATCGAAGGTAGACAGGCTCGTTTCAAGCAAGTAACGACGGAAGAGCTGTTCTAAGCGTTATTTGAAGTGATTCAAGACTTCTGCTAGGCAGATAACTCTTGTTACACTTGAAAAATCGTGAAAATGTTCCAAAATACGAGTGAGGAGTATTGAACAAGCTTTGTAACACGAATTGGTACACAAAAAAAGAAAATGTTTTATTCCAACAAGGATTCATGAGCAGTTAGACATGAGTACACAATTCCCATTTCGGTCACGAACATAATCATCCAAGCAGCGGCATCCGGAATAACAGTATTTCGAATGACAGCTTCTCAGTCCGAGAGCGTCGCAAGTTGTCTCACAATTCTTGCATTTGTCCCATTTTTCGTTCCGGCGGCAGATTTCTGAACAAAACCCAACTATTTCTAAGTTTTGACACATGTGAAACCTTTGTAACACTGAGTATTATGTACGCATTCCTCAAATGCGTTTCTTTTGTACCCAGGCCTACAGGTACAGGTGGCGCCCCATATAGTTATCGATTCACACTGAAATTTTGCTTCGAATTTCAAGTTCAGCTAGGAAGATTGAACTATCTCCTCGCCACGACAATTAGTTGAACAGCTGGGTGGAAAGTAGGTGAAGTACTCGTTGGGTTGGCAGATTCCCACTGGAATACATTAGTATTAATATTAGGGTCTCAAAGAACAGGATAAACTGCCCAGTTCGCTCTTTGGACATTTATCAAAAGTCTGACAAGTTCCATTGATTCTCGCAAAACCTTTGCGGCACTTGCACCCGGTATTGCACACGTATTGGTCGCATACCTCAACATTTTCTAATTTGAAATGAATACAAACAAAATTTATACTGGTTCAGGGTCTTTGCAACTAGCGTCACAGCCGGCTTCACAATCCGTGTAGATTTCATTCTTGTCTTCGCATTTTGGAGCGTCTGCAAGTATATGTTGTTTATTTCCGGAGGTTTGCTCGAAGTATTTCAAATTCCTAGTTGTCATTGCATTTTTTCCGCTATTTTTGCTCAAAAAAAAAAAATGAAGTCGCTTTTTTTTGAGTGATCACTAGATAGACGATTCGGGTAGAGCTTTTTCTCTTTAGTGATCATTTAAGTGGACCGTCTCCTCGGTCTACCGTGAGTCTGAGTGCGCCATTTAGGTTTAGGCTGAGTTGGAAAAAAGGGCATTTCGTTTTTACTTAGGGACCGCAACCAAATTTTCAAAAAAATTTTCGAACTTCAATATTACTATGGTTGGATAGCTGCTCTAATTTACTATTCAAAACAGTTTAGTTTTTCAAAAAAGGTTGAGAACAAAGAAAGTTATGGTCAAAACAGTAGTGAAAAAAGTCGCGAAATTTAGTACTGAAAGTTTATATTTTACACCTTTGGTCGTTCATTTTGTTTTCATATCGGATTTAAATTTTTCAGTAGCTTAGTTCGGTTTTCAAAGTCATAATTCGTACTCGCGATATCAAAACTGTATGCAAGCGCACTTGCGCTGCTCCACGCACATCTCTCGGAGATGGGAGGCGTTCGCGCTAAAAATTTTTTACTTACACGCTCTCGAAACCGAGTACAACATCTTCAACTTTGCGCGGCCTCACGCAGATTAGGCACCGTAAAAATTTTAATTTTTTTGTCTTAAAAGATTTGTTTTTCACTTAAGAATCGAATTCGAAAATAAAAAAAGGCGCCAACGACATGGAACTAGGTTAAAAACCCGAAGAAAAAAGTAGTTTTGGTTTTTTGTACGACACTCCGCTAAAACGCTACGAAAATCGGGTGAAAAGCGTATCAGATAGAAGAGGAAGGTTTTCTCTATGTTTACACCAATTTTCTCTGTGTTTGATTCAGTATTGCGCTTTTACGGAAACATCAAACACGAAATCTAAAAAACCATCGCATTTCACCATCGAAAAAAGGGGCGTGGCTTTGCGGTCTCTACCTTTACTCTAACTTTTATAATTCATTCAAGTGTTCCGAATTCTAAAAAATTTTTTTTGACATTAGGAATCAAAGTAAGTTTAAAAATCACTCTCGATTTTGACGCATTTCGCAGATTTTCCCTTTTTCTGAACGCAAACTTCTCTCTTTTTGTCGCACACCAAGTTGAAGCAACTTCCTGGTACATCTGAAATCAAACTGATTTGAAAAATAGAAAAACAATGAAATAAAAACTAACCATATCTGGTCGCATAACAAATATATCCGATTTCTGAATCTCTGCAAGTCATAGCCATATTGCACTGTTTATCCGCACAATATTCGACATTTCGTTTTCTTTCCACGCATTTCGGATCCTCATCCAGGGTTTGAAAGCAGACTTGTCCAGGCTTTTCCTCGCATTTCAGCGTTTCACAAGTTACTTAACCAAAAAAAAAGAATTTTTTCACGTGGGAAATTTGAAAATTACCTTTTTTCGCAACGGAAGCCACCTGAATAGCTGAAGCGTGTACTCCAATTTCCAGAAGCACGATGACCAAAATGGCCTGAAACCGGGGAATATTGCAAAAAATACAGAAAAATTAATTCACCACGTGCTTCAGCATGGCGTTTGGTGCAAAAAAAGGTTTTTTTCGCCGAGGTTTGAAGAGATTAATACCCTAGCGAGATGTCAATTATTTCAAAAAGAGAAAAAGATTTGCAAAAAAACCCTGTGCTTGAGTTTCATATCTTCTTTGAACTTTGGTTTTTCGAAATATGTTCTCTTTCAGTTTGCTTCAAACTTACGGAACTTTCAAAATTCATTCTTATTATACATATCAAATTTTCTGTGCCCAAGGGCAACAAGGTATCCATTTTATTTTATCAGAAGACGTTTTGTTTTGATTTTTCCAATTTTTTATTTAGGTTGACTTTCAACCTGTCCGCATGTGCTTTTTATTGCAATTTTTCCGCTTCTTATAAATCTCAGTGCACGAAAACACGAATATTTTATTATTATAGTTTTTGAGTACTTTTTAGCATTTATCTGGAAGGACACAGGTTCCATTTGAATTGCGACGAAACGCGTCAAAACATCGGCATCCGGGGTAGCAATACTTGGAACGGCAGCTTTTCAATCCGGTAGCCTTGCAATTTGTCTCACAGTTCTTACATTTGTCCCAGACTTCATTCGGTGGACACTTGTCTGAATCAATGCAATTTTTTTTTCCATTTTAAACGCCACAAAACCTTTGAAACATTGTGTGTTGTGTACGCACTTCCCAAAAGAGTTTCTCTTGTAATTCGGGCGGCAAGCACAGTTGGGACCGTAATCAGAGTAAGATTCGCACTAAAGTTATACATTTAAAGTAAAAGTTAAGACAAAAATTAATGCTTTTTATTTACGACCTCATCGGTAAGGGAAAATAGACACAGAAAGATCAGACTGTCGCAGAACGTTGAGAACTAAGTTTTCGAGGTCTTGTAAGACTAATTGGAGGCAAAACAGAAGTTTTTCGAACGTTTTAAAATGCCTCAAAGCAAAAACTTACAACATGAAGAAAAGGTTTAGAGGCGTCGAAATTCAAATAAAAAAGATTATTAACCTAAATACCGCTGGCTTGAGCGTAAAAACTCGTGAAAATATCTGCGTCTATGCCGAATAAACGTTAGTATTAATTTATCTGTTTTCAATAAGCTCAAGACGGGAAACGGCTTCATGAATTTATAAACCTGCTGTTGGCCTCGGCAGTTGATAGTGCACCATGGTGGGAAGTAGGTGAAAAACTCGGTCGCGGCGCATTTTTTCACTTCAATTTTTTTCTATCTGATTTACAAAAAAATGTATTAGCCAACCTTCAAGTTCGCTTTTAGGACATTTGTCAAAAGTCTGACAAGTCCCGTTGATTCTCGCAAATCCTTGGCGGCAATTGCAGCCGGTATTGCACACGTACTTGTCGCATTCCTGAAGAAATTTATAGTTTGTCTATTCAGGAAAAAATCGTTTTTCAATTTCGAATTTCACTTAAGCCACCGTCAGAAGCTCCAGCATACCTGTCATTATTAGCTCCCGACTCATAATTTCATTCTTTTCGTTTATCTTAAATTTGGTTTCCGACTTAGTTCCTGAATCATACGTCGGCTGGATCCCATCCCGGGGTGCGCCCACATACCGGGGCCAAATTTTCGCAGGTGGCCTCACAGCCGGCTTCACAATCCGTGTAGACTTCATTGGCTCCTTTGCATTTTGGAGCTTCTGAAAACTTGTGCACTTTTTTTCGTTTCTTCCTTCCTCGAACTATCGTAACTTCAGTTACATCTCAATCGAGTCAAAATTTGTACCATCAGAATGGGAATATTTCACTAGTGTACTTGGGATTTTCTGAAACCAAGTTAAGAATTCAAAACATCTTGTTTGTTTTTCAAGGCCTTTTTATGAAAAATGGAGTCTTTTCTATCGTGAATATCACCTCTATATATGACTTTTTTCCTGATTTTCAATTGATTTCCAACTAGCAAGCAATTAGTACTAACTGTTAATTTTGACGCATTCCGCAAAGTCTCCTTTTTTCTGGACGCAAACTTCCGTCTTCTTGTCGCACCACCACAAGTTGTAGCAACTGCCAGGTGAATCTTGAATTTTCTTTCTTTGAATAAAATTGGATAAATAACTAACTATACATGACGCTATAGCATATGTATCCATTTTCCAAATCGTTGCAAGTCATGGCCATATTACAAGGTTTGTCGACACAATATTTCCGGTTTGACTCTCGTTGAACACATTTCGGTTTCTTCTCCGCTTCTTGGAAACAGACTTCGTTCTTCTTTGCGTCGCACTTCAGTGTCTCGCAAGTCACTGGTGGAGCTAGACAAAATAATTTTTTAAGTCCAAAAAATTAAGACTAATTTTTAAAACCTGTTTTTCCAACGGAAACCGCTTGAACAGCAAATGTTTCTTTCACATTGAGGACTGCAAAGACCAAGAAAGCCTGAAAAAATAATGACAAAAAAAAATACAGACAAATAATTTACCACGTGCTTCAGCATGCCGCGTAGTCCAAAAATACAGATTCCCGCCGAATTCCGTTCCGATCGGATTAATACTATGGCGGTGGTTCAATTACTTCCAAATAGACGAGAAAGGTTCAAAAAAAGGCTGTAGTTGGAATCCGTCTGCTTTTTTCTGTTAGTAAAGAGCATTGCGAGTCCAAACCATAGGAAAGTCGGAAACTTTTTTCGATCACGTCATTTTCTGCAACTATCTTTGCTCATGTTACCTTCATCTGGTTCAGGTTCCTCAGATAGTCTTCCAAATTTTTATCCTGTCTCTTCATTAGGATCTATCTCCATTAAAGAATTAAAAAAAAGTCTTTTGGGGATAATTTTTCGAAGTACTCTTCTTATTTCCAATTTTCGACTTTTAAATCCCGAAGGAAACACTGAAACTTCTTTATTTGTCTGAAGCTGAAACTCATTTTTGATGAAATCTAGAGAATCAACGAAAAACTTGAAACTTAGTTATACGTTAAAAAAAAAACGCTAAAAGGGAAATTTTTCATAAATGTCCTCAAAATTTTCCCTAGAGATATAGATTGAGATTTCTCATGATCGTATCTGCAACTTTCAATGTTTGGAGAGTATAAACTTTCAAAGCTGCGAAATATTAGTTTTAGGCCTGAATCCGTGTTATAGGCCTACTAAAAAAAATTTTAATTTGTCATATTTCCGGGTACCCGTCAACTCGTTGGTGTTGACTATTTCTTGTGTATTGTTATTTCTCTGCCTATTCTTCACTTGATCATTTATTCTTCAAATATTTTTTTTCTGTTAGATAACGGCAGTGAATAAACTATATATATATAAAAAAACTATTTTTCCAAAAAACTAATTCAAAAATTTTCACTGAATTTTTTTCTTGTGAGTAGCTCAATGGCTAATTTCAGCATGGTATTCTCCCGTTTCTTTTCAATTTCGGTGAGAAAAGGAAGATAAAAACCAAAATTTTTTTATTTTATTGATTTTGAAGTTATTCTAGCACTTAGCTGAAAGTACACAGGTTCCATTTTGATTACGACGGAATCCGTCTGAACAACGACATCCGGGATAACAATATCTCGAGTGGCAGTTTTTCAGCCTCGAAGGGCCGCATTTCTTCTCGCAGCCTTTGCATTTGTCCCAAACTTCATTCGGACCGCACTTGTCTGAGAAAAAATAACATTTTTTTCAGTTTGACAAGGGAATCGTAGAAGGACAAAGTTCGAGAATTTGAGGAAAAATTGGCTGATATCACAGACTGACTGAAAATTTCTCACAAGTTTCGCCTTTTAGTTCAGTTTTAAAGGCAGAACGTTGTACTCTTTGAAAGCACAGGGGAAACTTTTTCTTGTCAATTTCGAAGTGCCACAAGTCGATTGAAAGGCAATAACGACGAATATTCCTTGGTTCAAGGTCAGGGTGTGTTTTAGAAAAAGTCTCAGCGCAGTGGGATCAAATTTTCAAATGTTCTATTATTAAAACTTCCTCTCGAGAAAATGAAAACCTGTGAAACATTGCGTGTTGTGCACGCAGTTGCCCAAAGAGTTTCTTTTGTATCCGGGCCGGCAAGTGCAGACGGAAACGCCTTTTTTGGCTGGTTCGCACTGAATAGGAGTTGAAGTGAGATGATTAGACAAGGTAAGTCATTTTATTTGGCCCTCTGAAAATCTCTCATATAAGTTTTTTATACTAGTAACATTATATTCAAAACCGAGACAAGGCGGCATAGCTCAGCTGGTATAACTCATTTCTAACGTCCGCAAGGTCGTAGGTTCGAGTCCCCCCGAGGTCGACCAAGCCTTTCATCCCTCCGGGGTAGATAAATTTGGGAGCTGCAGCGAAAAGGCTCAATCTCTGCCATCGGCCTTTGGAAAGCCGGCACCGTACTTCTCCCTACGGCCTCTCTTGTACCTGATGTTCTACGAGCGAAATTCACAACTTCTCTGCCTAAGCCACAGCTCCTGGCGCCGTTTAAACACAGTTGAAATCAATGAAAGTCGATTGCACATGTACTCTTACATTGAAGATGCAATAAACAGTAAACAGTTTTTAAAACAGGCTTTTCACGTTTTTTTTTATTCAAAAAAAAAAGTAGGAAAACCTAAAAACCTACAGTTTTTTCACGCAGATTAAGACCTGTAAACTAGAGTATACGATTTTTGCGTCTCATAATAGTCCACGTCGGAGGCTGAAGTTTTTTTCAAAAATTATAAGATTATGCAGCTCGATACTATGCGAGTCTTTTTCTAATAATATTTTGGAAGATTCTCAGAAAATTCCAGAGAAAAATGAAGAAAATCCATTTGAACATCAAAAACAAGTACCCTTTTCTCGCCCTGACAGTTGACCAAACACAGAGGCGGAGAGTCGGTGAGGTACTCGGTCGAATCGCAGGTGTTATTGCCTTCAGTCAGTTCATAATACTATCCAGATTTCAAGATGTTCAATCAACCTTCCATTTCGATTTCGGGACACTCGTCAAAAGTCTGACAAGTCCCGTTGATTCTCGCGAATCCTTTGCGGCAAATGCAGCCGGTATTGCACACGTACTTGTCGCTAACCTAAAAATTGTCCCCTCTTTCCAGGGAATCAGGTACAAATCCTACTGGTACTGGATTTTCGCAAGTTGATTCGAAACCGGCTTCACAGTCCGTGAAAAATTCGTTCGGGCCATGACATTTCGGGGCTTCTAAAGTTCTTTGACCCTGTTTTTTCGAAGATTCAGTTTTTCTAGACAAAATCGAGACTGTTAGGTTAAGATTTTGAGATTCCTGCTCTGAAATACACACACCTTGAAAAGAAGAATCATTAACAAAGTTCTCATAAAATCAATCAAAAATACATCTTTAAAGTAGGCGGCTCTTGTCTCAACTCGAATTAACCGACTGAAACCGTTCCGCAAACTAAAAAAAAAATACTAAAAACTCTAATCTAAGGAAATATGCGTGAATTTTGGAACTCACTGCTTAATTTGACGCATCTCGCAGATTCTCCCTTCGGCTGTACACAAACTTCTTTCTTTTCTTGACAAAGCAAGTTGTAGCAACTGCCCGGTTTGTCTGAAAAGTTCTATTTTTTTCATGACTCTCATGGGAGGTTTTTTTCTTATTTTTTTAATAAATTTCGCCTTATAACCAAGTTAAGCTTCACTCAAAAGTTTCAAAAAACGCGTTTTTATATAAAGTGTATAGTTTGCGAACATTAATGCGTCATAACTAAATTTTAAGTCAAAAATCTGAAAAAAAATTTTTTTCTAGGATATTTAAAAGCTACTATCCAGCCAAGTTTCTCTGATAATTTTTTTTTTTGGTTTTTAAAGTAAGAAGTAGATTAATATACTGTAAAAATTTTTAGTGACCACTTAAGAGGCTCCTCAAAGACTACTTGGAAAGGACACTAAAAACCATAAAATCTTTCCCAGTAAATGAAGAAAAAACAACGAACCGTAATCGACGCTCAGGCAGAAGTATCCGTTTTCATAATCCGTGCAGTTCATGGCCATATTGCAAGGTTTGTCGATACAATACTTCTGGAGAGGGTCCCGTTTCACACATTTCGGTATCTTGTCCGCCTCTTGGAAACAGACTTGACCCGGCGTTTTGTCGCATTTCAACGTTTCGCAACTGACTGAAAGTTCTTGTCAAAACGAACTACTTGGCCAGGATAAAGTTCACCTTTTTCCGCAACGGCAACCACCTGCATAACAGCCTCGTGTACTTCAATATTGAAGAGCGCAAGGACCAAAAAGACCTGGAGAAAAGAGCAATTCAAAATAAAAAATACAGACAAAAAGTCTACCACGTGCTTCAGCATCACGCGTCGCCCACAGAAAGAGATTCCCGTCGAGTTCCGCCTCGAAAAGATTAATACGGTTCAATTATTTCAGCAAAATAGACAAAGAGGTTCGGAAAAAACAATCATGGGATGAAAATCCATTCGCTTTTGAACACCTTTTTTCGACAGTAAAGCGCATTTAAAGTCCAAGCCGGTCAAAAACGTCATTTTGATCGAATTGTGATGAGTAATCTCAACTTTCTATTTCTCTTTTAATAATTTGAAATTGGTTGATTTGATATTCCAAGGCGAAATGATTGAACCATGAAAGGTCATCATTTTGAAATGTATTTTTTCTGCGAAATGTTTTCTAATCAACTCACATTCTTCAAAGGGACAAATCAGTTTGTCTTTTTGTCCCAAGCTAGCGGCGAATTCGAGCTTCAATTATCCAATTGAATTTTTAGAGCTCTTTATTTTTCCTTTCTGTTTTTTTCTAAAGAAAACAAAGGATCATTTTTTTTATTATTGGGTCTTTTCTCTTGATTTTGTCGCGTTCATGCTAACGACCAGAAAACCTTACAGCTCTCAATTGTTCCCCAATTAAAGAACTCCCGTCCGATAGGGCGCGCTTTCCACATGGCCGTTGTCTAGGAAACGAAGGACCTATTCGGCGGCATCATCTCCCGTGATTCATCGAAAAAATGCCGATAACTCGAGATCGAGGTCCAGCTCTGGAGGAACGAATCCTTGTCCAAGACACTTTTGCCTTCCAAGAAGAACAATTCGTGCCTATCTACTGTAAACCCAAACTCATTCCGCTCAAGACCATCACCATGGAGAAAATCGAGAAAATTCAGAGGGAAGCCCAGCAGAAGATACGTGAAGCCGAGCTCCTTCAGCAAGAACAACAGGTATGATTCATATGATGAAGTTTAATATTTCTATAGAAGTTTTTCGCATGAGCTCCGGTTTTTTTTTCTTGAAATCGATGTGTGTGTTACTTTAGAATAAAAAGACATTTTATTTCAGACCTATTCCAAAAGTTTTCCGTTGATATTTGGGGGAAAAAAAACAGTAAAAAACCCAAGCACATATTTCTAACACTTTTGGGTCGATTCAGTCCCTTTTCTTTGATTTTTGAAGTTGATTACCTCTTTTCTATAAGATGAAAAAATCCAGAAAATCATATTTTTTCCATGATTCTCCATTTTTCGCGCATTTTTATTTTTCTTTCAAGGAAGGAGAAGAAGAGGAGGACCGACCTGAGGACTCCGAACAGCCTGTCACACCTGCGGCCACTGACAAACCTGCAGATGTCTGGACGGCCGACGATTGAAATATTCTTTTTATTTTATTGACTTTTAAAAACCGTAAATTCTGGAGAACATTCAATGCAAACTCATCGAATTCTGGAAAGGGGGATGAAAACCTGGAAAATCGCCAACAAAATGAACAGCTTCTGTAGGAAGTTTGTGTTGCGGGAATGGTGGTTTCGGGTCAGGGATAATGTCGGGAAGAGGCGGAGAATAGCCGGAAGTATTGCCGGTCCAGCCGTTGCAGTAGACAGCCGTGGGATTGATTGGTTGAGCTGAAAGTTGCGAAAGTATTACTTTTAAATAATCACTGCGCATTTAGAGGTAGATTTGACAACATAGGCTCGAAAGCTTTGCATACGAGAGAGCACTGGTGAGATAGAGACTCAGAAATCCCTTTCTTTCTAGACTCCATGCTTTATCACTAGCGAATCATGATTTTTCAGTTCCCCATCTTGTTTTGAATTTAAATTGAGGTCGAATACATTTACAGAAAACAACTTTTTGGAACTTTTAAAAAGTGAAGGTGGAGTTTTATTGAAATTTGATTCCTCTCTGCGCGTTTAATAGATTTCGAAAAATATTATTCAACATTTTTCCTTTTTTGAAACTGTTTTTGAGTCGTTTAAAAAAGCTTCACAAGGCCCTATTTTATTGCAACTTCGCTGTTCCTTTAATAAGGCTTGAAACTTGATGACTTGGATTTTTTTTTTTTGATACTTCTCTCTAGACAGCAAATTCAGACAAAATTTTGAAACTTTTTTTGCAATACCTTCCCCTTCCAATTACCAACCTTATTGTTACTATTTCAAAGAGAGGACTTGAAAATAAGAATTCCATAAATTAATTCCAACCAACCGTGTTTGTGACGCAAAATTCTACTGATACTGCTGACCGACGGAACGTTCGCTCTATCGCAAATTGCATTCACTACCTTAAAAATTGATATTTATCAATATGTTTTACAAAAACGGCTCCTACAAGTTTCTCCCTGATTTCCCAGGCGAAAATGCCAGGATTAGCTCTTTTCAACAAGTGGATGAACTCGACGACCTGAAACTCAGGAGTTATTATTTCTCGATAATTTTATTTTAGAAAACCTTGGGAGTTGTGACTCTTGGCTTGCTGCCACCAATGGTTCCCGGCATCACAGTCCCGTTTTCAGAATATCTATCAATAAATGATCATCTACAGTTGGAGATATTAAATAACACAGTTTCTGAAAGTAGTCGCGAAACATAGCTCAGAAATTAGCCGCTGAGATAGTTCTATTTTTGCTCCACGGATAAAATTGATCGGCGTGAAAAAAGAAGCTCGATAAATTCAAACGACTAAAAATCGACTGTGAAAAATAAAAAAAATTGAAGAAGCTCGATAATGTGAAACTTCCAAGACTTTTCAACGGATTTTTTTCAATTTTCAATGTAAGGCAAAAAAAAACCTGCTTAAAATTTTCGACACGCATCCATGGCTGATTCGTAGTTGTCGGGAAATGTCACCTGAAAAGTTATATTTTGAATATAACGACTAGGAATCAGAAGTTGTTCAATAAAATCGGAAGCTACCTTATCTTATAAAGAAAAAATTGGGGTAATTTGTAAACTCAAAGTTTTTATTTTTAAAATCACAAGTTATTTACTATTCTCCCTCTCATTGAACTATAATGATGAAACTTTTTCTACTAACAAGGACGAACGCCGTGTTGAGACAGCTCAATGATACGGTAACGAAGACTGAGCGGAAGCGGCCGTCCGTTGACAAAAACGCCGCCTAACTGGTTGACTTCTCCGACTTTTGATGTTTCGCTTCCTAAAAGGTTCTCGAATCAAATTCATTCACACTTTTAGAAAACAAGTAATTGCAAAGAGACGCGAAATCTTTCGCTAAAATCTATATTGCCTCAAAAATGAATGGAACTTGATAAACTCGTCAAACGAAACTTTTTTTCCTGAAAAGTTTCTCCATTTCCTTGTACAGAAATCAATTGTTTTATAATTGTAAGAAAGAACAACTTCAAGCATAACTTTTTTTAACTTTGCATGGATTATTTGAAAGAAAAACTTCTTTTTTTCAACAGAATAAAACTGCAATTTGAAAAACAAAAAAACAAATGAAAATGACAAAACTAATCAAGATCAACGTGTTCCAAAAATCTTCAAGATCTAAAAGCCGTATAAATTTCGAAAAGACTTCAAATAAAAGTTGGATGAGGTAAAAATTTTTTTTTATCAATGCGAAGACGTTCAGAAAAATGATAACGAACCACTGGGAGAGTTGCTCCAGGCCGGCGGAGGCGTCAATTCCGAGAAGCATTGATCCATGTCTCGAAAAGGTGCCGATCTGAGGCTCTCAAGAGCTCCTCCAGTCACTTTGACTACCGTATCAATACAATTATCTCTCCTCCGCCCCCTTTTGGTTTGCCAAAACGGTTAAGCTTTTGCGCAAACCGAGAAAATCTACAGTGGCGCCCATATTTATCCTTAAATGGCTTGATCTGCTCAATTTTTGTTCAAGGGAAAATTTCGAATAAGAACCCTAGTAAAACTAGAAAAAACTAGAGAATGCGGCGGTTCGGAGAGACGCCAAAGAAAGAGAGACACTCTGGTTTCTCTGGCGTCTCTTCAAGTCTCTGTTGATCTCTCGCTCAAGCTAGATCATGGTAGATTCAATTCCTTTCTCATTACTGTCATTGGTCTGCATGTGATAATAGATTTATTAACGAGATATGTGGAATAGTGAAAGATCGACGCCATCCTGAAGAGATGCTAGAGAAAGAGAGAAAACCTTTTTTCCTGGACTATCTTCTTTTGCCATTGATCTCTCGTTTCCGCTAGTTTGTGGCCTTTCTCTCTATGTTATACTTTCAACTTTAAAACATCAAAAACTCTTCAAAATTTGCCCAAAATTCAGTCGATTTAAATTCTATGCGGTTTGTTGATTATAAAAACTTTTTCTCTTTGAAGTTCCCTAATTCAAGATCGAATCTACTTTTTAAAGAAAGTATTTTTTTGAGGTAAAACGGATGGTCAGCAGCCCAGCCGTTTACCTCAATGTTTGAACCAGCGATTATGTGGTTGGTGGTCTGCCGCGCTCCAGCGCAAATATTGGCTGGGAATTTACCGTACCTGGATGGAGATTTGACCGCAAAACTTTTAGCTTCTTCTGCCAATTAGAATAGGTAATCCTAAACTAAAAGTGAGATATAATGAAAATTACATGAGTCAATTTGCAAAAAGATTCCAATCTTCCGCCTAATGAGTTTATTTATTATGACAAGTAATGTAAATTGAAAAAGTTCAAAATTCGATTTCTTTGGAGTTTGCAAAAATCCGCCTTTGTGAAAATTCTGCTGAATTCTATTAGAAAATCATCTCCAGCAGTACTCCAGAAGCCGCCACCCCTACTCACCATTACTCCCACCAACCAAAGTCAGGCTGTTTGCTTACCGTTCCGCTTGAGCCTGAGAACGGCAGCCGATTGCAACACGGAGAAAAAAGGAGGAGGGACAGTGTTAACACCCAGGTGACCCAGGCCTTTGGAGTGCCGCCAAACGGTATTTGGTTGCCGCTGGGATAAAGATGGCGGAAGCCGTTCTTTGTTTCCAAACATTACTAGGCAGTCAAAGAGAAGTAGCTTTGTTATTAAAAAATGAACTGAAAAAAAACTACGTTTGAAATGGTTCAAATTTTTTCTCTTCCACCCTAAATTTGCAAAAAATGAAGACTTTTCGTTGTTATTGTTCTCTCTCTGGATGAATCTTTACTTCTTATGAGAACCCTTTGAGTCTCAAGTCTACCTGAGAGTTACTTTGCGTGCTAGTCCCATAAGTTTTTCTTTCAACCCGATTGACTTCAGTAAAAAGTCTTTCTTTTATTAAACTAACCCGGCTACTAAGACAGCGTAAGAAGACCACTTTTGGATATCTTTTTCCACTTTTTCATTGTTTCCGCCAATCAAAAATGTCATGTGTTTATCATGAAAAAGCCAATCAAACTTGGCTGACTCGACTTCTTCTGGAATTTTCGTAAGAGTTGGCAGAGGCGCCAGAAGCGGCGGAAGACGTTGGCCGGCCTCTTCTCGACGCCGACACGTTTTGTATCACTAAATTTCTCTTGTTTCTCTTTTTCAAGGAACTTTCCGACTCACATCCTCTAGAGTTTGGCGAATTTGCATGCAAAGATAAAAGATTGGAAGGATGGGAATTCTGAGGCGCCGAGGAAGATTCGCCAGTCCAGCTCTTGCTCAGATTGATTGAACCGCCTTGAAATTTTCTCTTTTGCTAGGATTAAAGCGAAATTCAAACTGGTAGTTTCATAGCCGTCGTTGTCGATACCCTGAACGGCGGCGGCGCTGAACCGACTTTTGGGCATTTCGTAGGCAGCGTTGGGACTCGAAATACTATGAGCTAAGTTGAAAGACTGTGGTTGTCGATGGTTATGTTGGACGTTGAAGGTCGGCGAGTGGAGGGGTGAAGAAGAAGCGGCTGGAAAGACATATTCTCAAAAGTACAATACAGCGCAAAAATGTAGGATTTTTCAAGTACAGAACGCAATTGTGATCTTAGAAAGGCAAGTTTCACTTGCGACACTTGAGGTTTGTTGTTAACAGAATCCAGTTAATCTTTTTCAGGTAAAAAGATACCTGTTCATCAATATTTTACACAATAAAAACTCTACCGTAATCCGTCGAAAGTGTGTCCGCCGAGTGGACACTTAAGGGACGCGGCAGGCTGTGCGCTCGCACGTCCAACTCTTCCATTGTCGGCTGAAGTTTGAATTTTCGGATTTCATTATCTTCCGAAAATTACCAAAGTTCTGGGTTTAGATTTTTCTTTCCTCAATGATCTAATTATCGAAGGTTTGCTCGCCGACTTTCGAGTGGGTAACGCGATTTGACGGTCTGGATCTGAAAATGATCTCGATAAGAAATTGTTGATTTTCTATTGAAATACCATCGGAATTCTTCTCGAAACCGCCGAAAGACCGGTTATAACAATTCGAAGAGTTGTCCTTTTGCAAATCGAGATTCTCGCTCATCGTTGAATCATGCGAAGTTTCGAAAATAGTATTATAATGACCTTCAACCGATTGGAATGGCTCGTCCTCCTAAATGCTCATTACAATTCCACAAATCAACTTTCTGTATTGTTTGAAGACGCGGCAAGATCTAAGCTTACACAAAAATGCTTCGTTTCGGGAATTTCGTGATAAAAAGCGAAAGACTCTTTCTTCTTTCAAAAAAACGAATGAAAATAGAAAAACGTGTAATAAAGTCCGAAACAAAAAATATATAAAATAAAACTCTTCAGAAAGTCGACTTCTGAACCATATTTTCCGAAATTTTCTGATTTTCAATCAACTTTTATCTCATTTCTACCACCCGAGTGGTCGGTCTTCATTTCCGCTCTCGTCCGAGATTCAATCCGACGCCCGTCAGCCCTGGACAAGCTGGGCGCCGTACTGTTCCTACATGGAGAAGCAGTGATCGTCGGAAACGTTCGAAAATCGTCTACTACTATCACAAGAGAGACGAGAGGCTCTACGCGCCGTCTACGCTTGATCAACAACAGTTTCGCGAACCGACAAACAACTCTTCAATGATTCCATGATTCAGCAGAGAACCTACTCTGAAGACTGAATAAAAGTTTCAAAAAATTTTCAATCAACTTTTCTATGTCTACTTGAGACGAGAATAATCTAGCCCTTTAAAATTTTCGAAAAAAAGATCCAGGATCTCTAGTTTTGTACAGGTAACCTATTTTTTCCGTCGATTTCTTATTTTTACTATCGTTTCAATCAAACCAAACCTGAAACTCCATCTTCTCTCGTAAGCTCTCGAAAAATTTCAAAATTTGACTAAATCGTGGCCTCTTCGCCGTATCAAACGACCAACACTGATTGATTAACTTGAATCTGAAACGAACTTTTTTTTTTTGGATTTGACCTATTGAAATTACAATTTTTCTGGACAATATAAAGGCTTCTTCATCGTTCCGCCATTGCGAACCGAAGTAATAACCTGTAAAACGACAATAAATACTTTTTTAAATTTAAAAAATATTCGAAAACCTCCGAGTTGTCCATACCCGAGTAAGGTACTTTTCCAAGGCTGAAAATTTCGAAAAGGACGACCTGAAAATATTTTTTTCGTGGAGAGCTTCTGATTTTATAGGACTTTGAACAACGTGGTCACATTTGGAATAGCTAAACGCGTCGCGATCCGACAAGAAACAATTTTCGCTTCGTGAAATTTTACCTTATGATACTGAATTAAAATTCAACTTTCGCCGCAGAAAATCAGCGCAACCGTGAAGTTTTTTGAACCATTCTCATGTGGTTTCTCGGTTTCCAACACACAAAAAATCAAAAATTTCATCACCCCAAAAGCCCAAACGTCGCTTTTGGCCGAGAAAAGTTGTTCTTTCAAAACTTCCGGCGCCATCCATCTGTTCAAGAAAACATACTTTAATTTTTTTTTTCCATCAAAAAGACCTAATCTGGGGGAATTCCCCGGCGCGATGTTGAACCAACTCGACGTTTCTCAAAGAGCGAGCCAGGCTGAGTTCTACATGAAAGAATAGGCATATTATCTTGAAATATGGATTTTTGGAAACCTAATTTCGTAACACGGATAGAGGAAGATCTAGAGTTGATGAGGCAGTTTTTGGCGGAAAGATCTCGGTGAATCAATGGTAGGGTTTCAAGGTAGGACATTCCACGGGCGATGTCTGTCGACATGGCCAACAAGTCTCGGAGACTGAGTTCGGAGGCTTGAGATTCGGTTGGGACCCTGAAACATTGAAGCTTGGCAGACTCACCAGGTAGGTTCTTCAATTAAAAAACTTTTTTAAAATCATAGCTGGCCTTGGTTATGCCGCACTCAAAGTAATTTCGCGAAACTCCAAATTATCTCTGAATCACCAGAATCTTCGTTATCTTTTTTTTCTCTACATTTCTTATGAAGGATTGGAAAAACAGCTCCCAATTCCCGAGATAAAACTCACGAAGATCTCAAGAAGCTGAGAAGATCCCCGCCCTCCAACAGCTCCAAAATGATAAATTCTCCGCCGAGCTCCATACAAACGCCCAGTTGCTTGATGATATTCGGGTGATCAATATTGCTATAATTTCGCTTTTTAAAAACCCTGAAGATTTTTCAAAACTTCAACAAAATCGCCTCCTTGATGAGGGTCATCCGTTCAAACGAGGAAGATTCGCTGCGAAGTGTCTGGAAGTCGTCATATATTCAAAATGATCTCTTATTTTTCACCTTGATGGCCACTTTCACCATTCTTTTGCCAGTCATCGGAACTTTCAGGGCGACTCCTTCAAAAACTTCTCCATAAGTTCCATCGTCGATGAGCCTCGAAATTTGCAGATCCGCCTTCGTCATGTGAGGCAGGTCTGAAGTTCTCAAACCAACATAAATTGAAAAAGAAAAATAAAAAAACTGAAAAAGTCGAGAAACGTCTAAAAATGAAACATGTACAGTTTCATTTTTTTAATGGAATTTTTTTGGTGAGATTGTGAAAAAAAGGAAAAAAAGATTATAAAAAAATAATTAATTTTTTTCATCCCGTTTCAACGGAAAAACCTGTATAAGTGAAAAATAAAATTTCTGAAAGTATGGAAATCCCTAAAAGGATCCCTCAGAGAAGTTTTTCAAATGAATTGCAAACTCCGAAACCATACAGAAATTCATGGAATAATTTTAAAAATGTTTTGATGCGAAATTTCGGCAAGCGACCATTTGAGGAATTTTCATGACACTTAAGGGATCACTTGAAATGTATATTCAAACTTTTCAATTCGTTGCTGATCTCCGGTGGTAATGGATGCATTTCGGAAGGCGGTAATGACGTCATTTGCTCCAAATTGATGCAATTTCTCTCGTCTTCTGCTTCTCTCTCCTTCTCCTTGGCGGCTCTTCTGGTTCGACCTGGAAAATTCCATGGAGCTTCATCTTTATAACATCATCTAAAACTGACGGATGAAGCAAATCAAGAAGACCAAGGCGCAAATCAACAAAATGGTGCAAGCGATGAGGACGTAAAGAAGGATTCCGTCAGAACTTTCAACTGCTTCTTCTAAAAACGCATTTGTTTGAAAAAAATGTTCTTGGAAGTTTTTAGGAAAATGAGTTCGTCTTTAAAAGGAAAACTCTAATTTCAATCTGATTGGTCTATCTCTGCCCTTTAGTAAAAGAAAGTTCAGAAAAAAGGTTGAAGTTTCAAACTTTAAACAAAATGAGAAAATCTGAAAATTTCAACTTCTAAATTCGGCATTACGTATGTGACTGTCCCGCTGTGGCGAAGCTCGGAAATTTGAAATTCGTGACTATGTTTATTGACTCAATTTTCAGGCTCAATTTTCTATTTTAATATTGAAAATCACCTCGATGAGCTTCAGAATACGCGTAGGCGCCGAAACCTTCCACATTCGCAGCTCGGACTCGGAATTCCCACTGAAACGGAAAATTTTTGAGGATAGAATGATTGGAATCGACATCAATTTGAGGATTGTCCGTTTTGGCCGGCCGCCACCACAATTTCCAGCCGTCGAGCCCTCTTTCCGCGATTTCCCACTCGGCCGTGTTGTTCAGTCTCATCTGAAAAATATGTAGATTTTTTTTCAGAGGTTTCAGTCAATTTGAACGAAATGATACAAACTTCGACAGCATAACTCGTTATGGGCGATCCGCCATCACTGAGCGGAATTTTCCAGGCCACGATCCAACCTTCTTCGTCCATTCTGCTCTCCACGCTCACTGGCGCTGTTGGAACGCCGGCTAAAATATTTAAACTTGTTGAGTTTCCAAAGGAGGTCGAAATTCCATGAACAAGCACATTGGAAATAAAATGAAGAAATAAAGATTGGCTTTTCTATTGACCCACAAAAACAGACTTTTGTTGTTGTTGTTGTTGTTGAGCACTTTTATACTAATTTAGGAGTTTTAGAGCGATTCCAATAGGGGTTAGGGACCTAAAAAGTGGTCCATATAAAGATAAAATCAAGGTGGTCCCCATAGGGGTCTTTCAATTTCAGTCAGAGACCTTTTTTCTAGTTTTTCGCATGGAAATGCTTCTTCGCATAGAGATCATAAAAGGTATCGAACAGGATGTCCCCTACAGGGGATACTAACTGAAACCCTACAGGGACCAATTTTGCAAGCTTTAATGGCCTCTATAGGGGTTGATGACTGAGCAGCTAAGGTTGCATCTATAGGGACCACTCTGAAGATCCTAAGAACATATTTTTGTTTAACAGTTGAAAGAGCTTAAAATATGTGTTTTGCACTGAATTTTCTACGCTACTGAAAGTAAATTATGAGCATGTACAATGCGCAAAAAAGGCCACAGAAAGAGTAGGAAAAGCCACCTTTAGTCCTTATCTGCTGAACGCCTTGGAAATATTCCTCTCGGTAGGCCAGAACTTTTCCATCGACAATGTAGGTACCCGTATAGGCGGCGACGAATCGATAATCGTAAGAAGTTGCAGACAAAAGGTTGTTTATGAGTACTGAAGAGGAATTATTGATGTGGATAAAGAAGAAAAATGCATGAAACATAGGCTATTCCAACAACTGTAGGAACAAGAGAGATAACCGATTTTTTTTTTCATTTGATCTTGTATCGATTTTCTACTTCTCTAAGCCAAAAAATCATTATAACAGACCTAAAACAGTCGAGAGAGTCGGATCGAAGGTTGCGTTCGACGGAGCTCTCCAATCATTAAAATCGCCACTCTGAACAATATCATGGTCAACATAGTTAAGGATCATTTATCAATACTTCCTTATACTGAACAGACAAAGTTGAGGGCGGTAGTTCTGGCTGAAGTCCATTCCAGCGCAGAAGCAAAGAAGAGCCAGTGATATTGTCAGGCCTCAAGGTGCCGGGAATGTCGAGCGTGTGAGCGACCGCCTTGAAATATTCATAATCGAGCACTTTTTTTTTACAACTTTTTCGAAAATAAAAGTTTCTTTTTAAGATTCAGAACGTAATATCGGAAAGTGAGTCCCTCATTAATCCAAAAAAAAAAGACCCACTTCAGGCGAAACAGCATCGTCGTCTTGCAAAAATGTCGCGTTTAGATGAGAAATGTGAAAGGCTGTGATCTAAAAACATCATTGAACATTATCAATGAGACTTCCTTCTAACCCAAAACTTGTACTCATTCGAAGGCCTCAAATTCGCAATCTTGACTCTACATGGGCTGACTAAACAAGAAGCCAAGTCAGAAGTCGCGTTAGAAGACGGCGATGTCTCCGCCAAGGGAATCACGGCGACTGAAGTTGGCGACGTCAATCCGGCCGCCTGTTGGCTGATTTTGTATTTGATCTCCGTGATGGGGGCATTCAAGGTTTCCGGGAGGTGCCAGTACAAGTAGACGGTGTCAGGGGAAACAGAAATCGCTCGCGGTTCCCTCGGAGAAGAAGGATAGCCAAATCTGCAGCTTCTTCTATTTTTAGCCACAATTACTGTGAATCAAAAAAAAAAAAATTAACATGAAGACGCTGGAAAGATTCTTCCGTCATATTAAACTTCATGGAAAAAAAAAAACAGAGAAAAAAATGATTCCGCTGAAATGGCACCTTTTCACATATAAGAAGATATATTCCGGTGTGAAATAAAAAAATCATAAAGAAGCTAGAAATTAATAAATTAAAAATGTAAAAGAAAAGAAAGATCTCTTGAGTGATCGGCTAAAGTTATCCGCGGACCGAAAGTGCACACAAAAAAGTCATACTTTCTGAGTATTTTCGATCGCTTAAAGAAAGATTTTACAAAAATTTATATCCACATTATTTTTATTCATTGGATGCGCCATAAGCTTTTTGTTCAAATGGTTAAGAAAATAACCGTACCCTGTTCGAAAAGCCAAAGTCGGTGAAATTCCACTCGGAGGCGAATATCGGTTGAGCCACGCCACCGTCACATCGTAATCAGTTTCCTTGTCCAGAATGCCGTTCTCAATGTGGATTTTGTCGGAAAAACTTCGGACGAGCTTGGTCTTATCGGTATTTTTCCTGGTGAAGTACACCTATAGCAATTAATTCATTATATTATAATTATAATATTTTTGAATCACTTCATATTGGGTCTGAGGCATGCTGATGTCATCGCAAGCCTGTGCCGCCGAAGACTTGGCGACTTCGAGAAAGGCCCCGGTTTTTCTCTCATTCACAATCGTGAATTGGATTCCTTTGGATGAAGGCATTTCGAAGCAAGTCCTATCTACAAAAATCCACACATATCTTCAATTTCGAGCCAATTCCGACCAGGATAAGGCTGACTACTTTGGCTGACGGCCAAGATTTGCTTGAGAGGGGGATTGGCGATGGAAATCGGGGAAACTGAATCTCGGTCGTAGATGAGCATTTCAGATGACGTCACAAAGATGAAGAGCTTGTCGGCGAGGGCGAAGGAGGAAATCGCTTTGAGACCTCTTTCTGAAGGAAAATTCAGTTTATTCTATTTTACAAAGGTTTCAAAAAATGCGATGGGAATGGCGCTGGTGGTGTTTCCAGTGGAAAAAAGAGAATTGTTCCAAAAAGCAGCAAAATTATCCGAATCAAAAAGAAAGTATCGTTTCGTGTGTACGTATCCCTCGAGATTTTTTTTTTGGTTTTGAGGCATGTCAGAGTTCAAAATCGATTAATTTTTGTTCAAGCGTTTGGTACTCATCCTATAACCGCGGCGACCTCAAGAAACTTCGCAAGCAATATTTGGAATTAAGCAGGCCTTTTTTCTCGAAATAACCGCCTCGCGACCGCAACGCGTTGAACAATTTATTGCGGCAAAAGTAGTTAAAAGGAGTTTACAAATAAAATAAAAATCTTCGAGACCTCCGAACTTGCTCCAATCGATACGAACTTCGCTACACGCATTATTCTCAGCTAGATCGAAAGAAATCAAGCCGTTCCAAGTCAAGGCGTATAATTTCGGCGATGAAGCTCGGTTCCAAGTAAACTCTGAAACTTCAATTATCATCTACTTTTCTCTGTCCAGTACAGACCAGCCATCATCCAAGTGATCGTCTGACTCGCGAGACATTCTACCGTAAGCGCCAGATTCGTTTCAACGTTCGTGTTGAGATTCAGGGAGAATAATGATCCGTTTCGTGTCAGCAAGAAAGCGGTACTGAAAAATTATTGAAAATTCTGAGAGAAATTTGATAAATTTTAACAGTAGTAAAGGAGACTTGTAAAAATTCTCAGACATTTCAAAGACCCTTATTCCTTTTGGTGACAGCCTTAGTTTTTTTGATATTTTGGAATTTAATCGAATTAATCCTTTTTTTAATGAAAAATAAGCTAGTGATGTGTAAAAAGTTTTCTTTGAAGGCTCTAAAATATACTCAAAAAGTGCAAACAAAGCCTATTATGAAGCCATTACAAAGCAAAAAGTCGCGATTCGAAAACGATTTTTAGTTACCAACTTCTTAAACGGATCAAAAGTGAGCTGCTTGGCCTCGGTAGCGCCAGAAGACAAGTTCATCAGTTGGTACGGAGTCAAAAGTGACGTTGACAAGAAAGGCTCCAGTGACAATTGATAAAGAGCTGATCCCGAGACGAACAACAGCCTATTTCCGACCCAATCTGACGTCATCGCTTCAATCTTCGTGACGTCGCCGCCGATGGAGAGCTGAAGTTTACTGAATGGTGGAGAAATCGGAAAATTGAAAAAATGAACAAAAAAGTGGGTAGGCAGGAGAGAATAAGTGGAAAAAAATGTGGTTGGAAGATTAACTTTCTCAAGAGCTTATCGAGAAATGGAGATTTGATCCCTGAAAAAATAAAACAGATCCAGGACCTTGTGAACGATATTTTCAATGTTGTTGGTGTCGATTTGGACGAGTAACGGTTGTACCGAATCCGTTTCTTTTCTTACTGCGAATAAATCTTCTCCGATAAAGGCGATCGCTTGGTATTCCATCTAAAAACGTTATTTTCAATTTTTTTTTTACCACTCTTCGAGTCTAAAAAATGCGAAATCTAAAGGTTAGCGACGGCATGAAGAGACGACAGAGAAAGGAAGAAGTTTCTTTTTCTCTGATGTCTCTTCAGGATATCATGGATCTCTCATTTCACTCACAGTTTCCGAGATGTTTTGGTAATTTTTCCGCGAAACTTCTCAGAATTTAGAGTTGCGGTGTTCAAAGTAGCTTCTTGGGAATCGAAACTTTCTATGAACTTTCGAATGTAATTTTATTTTTCACTCTCTAACGATTACTTTGTATTAAAAGAAATCACTTTGAACACGACATGAGATTGGTTTTGAAAAGGTTGTATTTTGGTGAAAAATATATCTGAATTCGGACTTACTTTTGGTTCCTGGACAACTTGGCGTTTTTCTCGATGCGTGTCGTCACGAGTGATGTTCGTGATGGCGAGTAGGGAGTTTGTGGAATCAATCGCGAAAAGTTTGACCAACGGCTTCAGTTCTGAACATCAAAAGAAAATTTCGATTTTAGACTGAAAATAAAAATGCAGGTAACTCATTTTGAATCGCAATCAAAAGGAATAAACAAGTCCTCTGGCGTGAGAAAATGAACTTTTCTCAAGTATTGGCCATAGAAATTCCGTGTAAAATCTTCACTCGAAGTGGTCGCTCTCATTCTGAGGCTTCCACCTAGAGCACGGTCTCCGGGCTCCAGCTCAACATCCACTACATTCTGAGCTCGTCAAGGCGCAACTGGATGGACTACGCGCAGAAGGGGAGGACGAGGCGAAGGACCGTAAGACCATGCTTTCAACTCTTTCGACTACACGTTTGGACTTCTAGTTCACCAAAGGCGGTTGTTCGTTATAGCTTTGAAAGTTCTTGTTCACCGCCTAGTCGATTACATCAGACTAAAACAACAAAATAAATGATTTGATTGATTGATTGAAATCGTCGAAACTATTCGAAATAATGCTCAAAGTTATCCTGCAAAATTAAAAAGGCCATCAGAGAGTGAAAAGGATAACTAGATTTTGGAGAGAGAGAGAATCTTGAATTCGTGGAAATTTCTTTGAACAAGGTTTCTAATCAGCTATACGATAAGTTTTGAACTTTTTTTCTAAACTTTGAGCTGCCTTTCAAACATTTTAAAAGCCTTTTTGCTATAATTTCAATATTTTCTGAACTCCCACCACTGCTATCAATAACCAGCGCCTCCGAGAACATTCCAACATTTCCGGGTTCATTTGAAGCGGCCACTTGGCACTGAACTTTCCCGCTTTTCACCGTAAACGAATAGTGCATTATGGAGCTGCTCAGTGCGCCGCCATTCGTTGTGGCGTCGTCCTGAAAATTTTTTTTCAATTTTTTTGTAAATTTGTCCAGAAAAACTTCAAATAGAAGGACTTTTTTTATTCAAAGGATATAATTTTGCAAGTCCAAAACATTTTCTATTATTTTTTTGGTATCCTTTGCTAGACAACGGAGTTTTTGAAGTAAAATATTTATATAAACTAATACGAAGAAACATTTTTTTGACGGCTTTATCGTTTCAAGCACAATGAACTGTTCAGAAAGAGCCAGAAGTTTGCGTCAAAAACTTTATCAATTTTAGCTGGACTCTAAAAAAATGAACCTTTGTGCAGTTGACAATGTACTGATACGGGCTACCGTTCCACTCCTTTGGCGGCGTCCAAAAGTACGAAATAAGGGCTCGTGGTCCGTCGACAGTTTTCTAAACAGCTTAATCTTTATCATACATGAAAATAAAACTTTTAAAAGTGTGGCGTTTTGAGTATTGGGGAAATCTAAAGAAAACTGTAATAAAATCTTCCATGAGGATCGAAAAAAAAAGATTTGATTTATTCTTCTTAATTATTGACATATGCTAATAGAAGGAGGGAAACCTGTTGAGTAGCATAAATCCGAGTATCAGTTGGTTGAGTCGGCGGCTTGATCGGGGCCACAAGGCCGGTTCGATTTTGCATGACAGACATCCAAGGGGAAATTGCTCAAAAAAAGTATGGTCTGTGTGCCACGACTTGAAATTTCTGCGCGCCTTTGCGAAACTTGGTCGCCCTTTTAATTTTAATTTTAATTTTATTAAGGTACTCTACTTTCATGTGCTCCCACAGCAGTAACAATCAATTGGAAGCGTGACCTAGATTCGAAAAACGCTTCGCGAACGCACGCAGCGGAACATCGGAATGTCGTTCCGTGAAATTTCAAGTTGTGGCACAACAGTCATGAACTTTCGAAAGAAATCGGAAATAATTTCCAGTGGTTCATGAAACAAAAAAGTTAATAGATTTTCAAGGTCACTCAACATCTTTAGGTTGCCAAACTTCAATTTCATTGTTATATAAAAATTTTTTCAAACTTTCCAAAAAACCTTGTATCGAAACATCGAATCTCTGTGCACTGCTCCACGAAGCCAAAATCTCTGCTGGAATCGTATAAACATTTTCCGTTTGGACGCTGGTCAACGGCGCTTCGAGGCCCATTTTGTCGCGGAAAATGCTCAGCTGAAGTGAAAAAATATCGATCCAGAATTGATATTGGTTCTTAATTTCAAACTTTATACAAAATACGTCCTGGCGGCTGCTCCGGCTCCACACTCCATATCAACTGGCTTTTATCCGAGTCGGTGGTTCGGATCTCTCCTGAAACGGATAAATGATGATCAGAATAGAAATGATCTACTTTCGTTCTCCAATATGTTAAATTTCAAGCCGTCGTTGAAAAAAAAAATCGTAAAAAGATAGAGAAAAAAAAAGCAAATATCAGAAACTACGTATTTGAAAAACTTTTGATGAAAACGCCCAAAAATTGAGCTGATCTTTTAAGGAATGATAAAAAAAAATTTTCTTTTCTTCACTTTATCTTTTTTGAACTTTCCAATCGATAATCACCATTAAACTTGAACAAATGAGATATTGGAGACGATAAAATGGACACGATGGCGTCGACACGATCTGACGAGTAGATCACGTTGATTGGCCGCAAATTTCGATCGGTTTGGACCATGGAGCCACTTTTCGTCACGAATATCACTTTATCAAATGACATCAAAAACTGTTTCACTCTGAAAAAAAATCCTCACCGATTTTTCAATTTTTTTCGGTAGTTTAGTTGATTCACCGCTGTGTTTAGACATAAAAAAAACTTCTACATCAGCTGAAAAGAACATTGAAGAGAAATAAAAAGGAAAAAATGGACTGAGAATTGATGAAAACGCCCAAAAATTGAGCTGATCTTTTAAAGAATGATAAAAAAAAATTTTTAATTGGAATCCTCTGAAAGTTGACAAGAGTCTTCTTTGGTTTATCAGATAAATTCAAGAAATTCTCAAGCTTTTTAATGTTTGATACTTTTCGAGAAACAAAGGCTCGAAGCCTTGATGAGGCCTCTTCTGAGGAATTTCTTCGTGTTCGAAAGGCTACCCCTCGAAAAATAATAAATTCTGAAGGTTGAAGCTTTGTGAATCTTCAGTTAATACTCAATAAGTCTTCTATAACTTTTGGGAAAATCCAAGCCTAAATTAAATCCGACAGCCTTTTTTTCGCTGAATTTCACGTTGAGCCTATCAAAATGTTATTCTTTAAAATCAAGCTCTCCAAATTTCCCTTCAACTCAGCGGTGAATTAACTAATCATGTTCAAAATTACGCTGGAAGTTGATCAGAAGAGGAAATAAGCTGCGGTGAACGATTTGCCTGATTGGATTCCCATAAGAAAATGGTTCCATTTCTCGCCTGGGTAAGGAAGAAAAGCTGAATAATATCATATTTCCAATGAAGTTCAATGATCTTTTTGTACTTCTCCCGTAGAATCGATAGCTGATAGTCCAATGACTTCAGCGCAGTCTTCCAAGGGCTCGACGCAAGAATAGTACCTGGAAAACTGATTTTCTCATGGATTTATCAAGATAAAAGTGCTGGAAACCAAGTTCCCGTCGTTTGAAATCGTCTAAGAGAGCTGAATTTGGATTTTCGTAGTACTTGATTTTTTTTAGTCCTCACAAACTTTTAAAGAAAGTTTCTCATTTCTTGAACGACAAACTGATCAAAAAAATTAAAAAAAAAATTTTTTTTTTCGAACATCATTCGCCCCTTGCGTTTCTAGTAAAAGCTTATTTTTCCTATTTCCTTAATTTCTGAATCTCTTTAGAGACGCCGTTTTGCTTCCCTCTTAAAATAAAAAACAATTTAGGTTTCTTTGTTTTTATGAATCATTATGTTGGAAGGGTTTCAATGAAACGGAAAAAAATTCAAAAATAAGCAAGCAAAATTTTTTTAATCAATTTCTTTGTACCATTTTCAAAACTTGGATGAATTAAAAATATATTTCTAAAAATATATTTTTTTCTAATTTCCGCCTTGATTTTGGTTCGAACATTTCATATACGAAGCCTATAGCGATTTATCTGATGAATCATTATTTTGAGAAGGCAACGAACCAAAGAAAGAGCGGAAATATTGAACTTCAGTTTTGGTTTAAAAATGTCAATCTATCATTTCTAATTCTGTAGAGGTTACGGTAAAGCTAATAATGACTCAGCATGAAGAAAGAGAAGTGAAAACTATTTTTGGAAAAAAAAAAAATGATTCATAAGTTATTTTTGAACTATCAGCGGTATAGAATGAATCATTATATGGAAAAGAAGTGGTTGCAAAAAAGCAAATTCCAGGGAAAAAATTTTTCAGGTCAACGACTTGCAGGAATAAAAAAATTATCTAAATGTCAAAAAAATCGCTGAAGACGTTCTTATTAATTGAAACGGTAAAAAGGAAGTTATTCTTCTAATCCTATCGGTCTTTCAGAACTATGAAAAGCAAGATGTTGCGAAATAAACCTTATGAAAACAACAACTAGCCTATGAAAATGAAAAATCCTTTATTTTTCCACCCACTCATATTCGAAAGTCCCCGTGAGTCTGTATGCGACGATCCGATAAGAAGATCCCATGATCAACATGGCCTGAGACGGCAAAATCGAGAGGAAATCCACGGGGACTCCTTCCAGAAACGGCTTCAACTCGGACCCTTCGGCGATATCGCGACGATAGATTCCAATCTGATCAAGAAACAAAATTAAAGAGGATTCTTGGATTCCAACGGACCTACCGAGCTCTCTCCGGCCGTGTAGATCATTTTTGTCGAGTTGTCAAACGCCAGGAGGCCCGTTAGTTTTTTGATAGTGATAACTGAATAGATGATTTTTGAAATTTGCTTTGTTTAAAGGCGCATAGCAAACATCTTATTGGTCTCGAGGCGAAGAATCTTTTTCACTTTTTCTACTTTGGTACTACAGGCTACTGTCCCTCGTAAAGTCTCAGGAAGAATTTTTCAAGATTTTCAGCGGAAAATGACGCGAAAAAATACTTCAAAACAATAAATTTACTTTTACCGGCCACTTAAGAGGTTACTCAAGGACTACTTAGAGAAGAACCTAAAGTTTGCGATATTTGATAGAAATTTGCGATATTTCCAACAATTTAGTCTCCTTTTTTCCCCCAGACTTCGAGAAGAATGCAAGAATAATTTTCAATACATTTAATAAGAAATTAACCTGAATCGTCAACGGAAGTCTTGAAACCAAGCATGTTCAGAGCGTCGTCACTGTGGGACTTCACGAAAACATACGGTAGTTCTGGAAATTTTTTAATTCGAGAATTTCGCTACAACCAAACCATTATTCAGATCAACAAAAGCCGTATTTGTAGTTTCCGTAGGAGTTGAACAAAATCCGCAGGAACAGACTTTGACTTGGGCTTTGTAATCGGCGTTTGGCACTACTAAAACCGTCTGGAAATGGAAAATCTCTCAAACTTGTGTATACTTTTGAAAAATATGTGGAAAATAGGCCGTTCCCGGCCGACTTTTTCTTAAAAGACACAAAACATGTGGCTCTATCTCCATTTCTACCACACACACGCTATTTTTTATCCTTTCGAGATGTTTGTAGGATTTTTCAGCTATGAATAAGCTATATCCACTTTTATGAACGCTATTTTCTCACAATATCTGTTTCCTCGGTGGAAGTTTTCGTCGTGGGAGCGTCTGGAAGTTCAGAAGTCGTCACTGTCAACTCGTAGACGTGCTTTCGCCATGGTTTTCCTGAAGAGTTCAATCGCAATCAGTGGTATAGTCAATCCTCTCCGACTTGAAACACGAAATGGGTAAGGAGCAAGGGTGACGCGTTGCGTACGCGAGGCGGTTTTGCCGGGAAAATCGATGTCAACTTTGAGCCAACTTTTTTGAAAAAATTGAGTTGAACGGTAAAACGTATAAAAAAAAATAAAAATCTTTTTTTTTGAATACTTTTTTTACGCTTCAAAAATCTTTTTTTTTTTTAGAATTTCGGGCTTTGATCCTCTCTTTTCGTTGAAGGACGTAGCATACAGACAGGGGAGGTCATTCAATTTACGATCAGGAGTCTCCTGAAAATTGGTCGGGGCACTATTGGATGTACCAAAAAAAGGTTCCGGAAGTCTCAACCTGTCCGCATTCCTGGTTTTCGAGAAATGGGCTCAAAGTTCCTTTTAGGAACTTTATATGGTACATCAAGGAGTGTTATGGACGACTTTCAGAAAATTCTCATACCCAAAGTGAAATGACCTTCCATGAGAGGAGAAAAAAAAAAATCATGACAAGCTTTTAAAAAATATGTAATGAAAATGACATCAAAAAACTTTTTCCTTGAGTGCCTACACCAAAAAAAAAATGAAGAAAACCTTGAAAAGGCATATTTTTGGCGTTGGTCCAAGTGACTCTGGCCGACTTGTCCGACACAGTCAGACCGATCGCGTCAACCGCCATCATTCGCGGTTTCAGATTCTTGTTCTCAACGAATCCGAAGGCGGTCAGGGCACTTGGGTACAAGTATCTGAAAGAAAAAATCAACTTCTTTCCGAGAAAAATAGGAAACTCACCGGCTTTTGATACTGTCGCCTTGTTGGGTGTTTTCAGAGTAGAAACAGATCTGAATCATTGATACTTGAGGGAAAAATTTTCAAGAGAATAAACTTTAATCCAAAAATAGGTAAAAAAATGCGAAAAAAAGGTCAATTTGAGGGCAATAGAAAGTATTTTTTTTCTTCTGAATTTTCAAAAAAACCCTGGAATTTTTTTCTCAAAAAACCACCTCATCAATCGGCGCCTCGCCACACTTTTCCCTGTTTCCAGAAGACACGATTTTTTTTAATCATATGAATTTGAGTGACGTCACCAAATCCTTCAGAACGAACCATCGAAACCTTGTCCGTCACGACATTCAATCCAACGATGCTACCTTCAGAAAACTTCTTAAAATTCGTGAAAAAAAAAAAAGGTAAAGCACCATTTTTGAGCGCAGAAAGAAGATTAAAACCATCATCATCGAAAAAAATCGCCTTGGATGGGGAGAGGTCTGAAATATATTATTTTTTTTCTAAATGTAATCCTAATATTTTAAGTTGAATCGCGTACTGGAAAAAAACTATTTCACAAACTTAAAATACCAAAAAAATCGTTAAAAAAATTCAAAAAAATTGAAAAAAAGAGTCGAAAGTTTAAAGACCCCAAGGAAACTTTTTCTCATAATAAAACCTTGAAAAACCGAATGCCGGTTCAAAAAAAAGTATAACAAAATTTCAAAAATTTCGTGAAGCTTAAATTTTTTTTAATGAAATTTTATGAAATTCAACCCAATTTTTTTTTTAATTTCAAAAATCACCTGTCAAAATTCTGGCCCCGCTGATCATCTGCTCTCCGGTCACATTCAAGGCGAACATTTCGATCTGATGAACATTTTCATTTCCGTTCAGGGTGTAGACAAATCTTCAATGAGAAACTGATTTAAATTCAAGAAAATATAAGGAAAACCCATTAGTCGCGTCAACAGCAATCTGAACTACTGGATTGATCGGGTCACTGTTCAAAATAGTGATGCAATTCGTGATTTCAGTAACTCCAAATGAGCATCTGGAATCCAAAAGAAATTTCAGAATCCAACAAAAATTGAAAATTCACCGACTGAATCCTTTTTTGGCCAGAACGAAGTATATTTCCTTTTGAACTCGATCTGGAAATTATCAAATCAGAGGACATTTCTTTTCATGTTTCACTGGTAATCAACTAGAAAATTCAGAAAAAGGCTATTCATTTTTCTAAAAATCTTGTTTAAAAACGACTTTTAAACTATTTTTTTTCTAAACATAAAGAAAATTTAAAAACCTTTCCTTGGAACTCTCATATCTCAAAAAAAGCTCCCAAATTTTCAACTAAATTTCAGTATTTTTTCAAATTGATAGCTGATTTTTAATTCTTTCGGGGACATGGCTAAACTTGAATCGAAACTATCGGCAAAGATTAAAATTTGAAAGTTGCCTAATCAAAAGAAAATTCACGAGAAGATCAAATAAAAATTTTCAAACCGAGCTCAATCTTCCAAGAGCTGTGAAAATCTCCCGTTCATAAAAGTCAAGATACAGGAATAAAAATCATTCAAGTCCGTTTTTTGTTTTGATCATTTTTCTTACCTAATTCGATTTGGGTTATTCGAAAAGCATCTTCAGCCGGCGCCTTGAGCTCGATAGAGATCGGAGAATTTTCAAGGGAAGTTTCATTCGAATTGGCTTGAACCATCCAAAGACCACCTTTCGATGATCCCACCAACAAGGATGATTCGGAAAGGCCGAGTAGAGCTTCAAATTCTTTTATTTTCATAATGTTTTTCGAGAACCTGAAACGGAATCACCAGCGGGGACTTGAAAATCGGAAAAATTTGGCGCTTCAGAGAGTAAATATTCATCGAAAGCGGCTGAGATCAAGTGCGACCCATTGCTAAGGACGAGCTGATTGGTGACGTCAGTAAGTTGGGTCTCAACTGTAAAATACACTGCTCCACATAATTATATATCCACCTGAGATTTTCCGAAAAATCGAATATTTTTAGAGTTTCTGAAAATCTTTTTGTTGTCAAAAGATGGGAATTTTGATCAGATTAATATAGCTATCAACAAAGTTCCTATTGAAAAAGGTTTCAAAAAAATTTCAATTTTTTTCAAAAAAACCGGAATTTCCGTTCCACATAATTATATATCCACCTAAGACATTGAACTTTTTGGACCATTTTTTTCCGGTTTTTCGTATCTGTTATTATTTTCTCAAAATGTTTGTTTGAAAATAAGAAGAATAAGAGCAAAAAGGTTTTCCAAAAAGTTGAGAAACCTTGGATTTGATCAGAAAAACGGTCGCGGTGCTGTTAATTACATCAGCTTCTCTTGAATCGATTATGATGTGAGTATTTTGATTTCATAAGTACCTTTGTACTTGTGAGCAACAATTTAAGTTCAAAAAACTTCAGTAAAATATTTCTTTGCATTGAAAAGAGGGAGTTTTCCTATAAAATTTATGAAAGTTTGACGTCCATTTAAGAATATTTTTTTGTGATAAACTTTTTTTCAAAACTTCTGAGTTAACCCTGATTATGAAAAATTCAACCTCACATTGATGACTGTGGAGCTGGAGTACAAAAACAGCACTGCGACCGTTTTCTGATCAAATCCAAGGTTCCTCAACTTTTCGGAAAACCTTTTTGCTCTTATTTTTCTTATTTTTGAACAAAAATGGTGATAAAATAGTAACTGATACAAAAAACCGGAAAAAATTGGTCCAAAAAGTTTAATGTCTTAGGTGGATATATAATTATGTGGAACGGAAATATCGGTTTTTTTGAAAAAAATTGAAATTTTTTTGAAACATTTATTTTTTTCAATAGGAACTTTGTTGATTGCTATATTAATCTGATCAAAATTCCCATCTTTTGACAACAAAAAGATTTTCAGAAACTCTCAAAATATTCGATTTTTCGGAAAATCTCAGGTGGATATATAATTATGTGGAGCAGTGTATTGTCTAATTTAAAATTACGACTCGTTTTCGAAAACCCCCTTCGGTTTTAAAAGGCGCAGAAGTCATGTAGGACTAAAAATAAAACAAAAATGGGTGTTCGATTCGTGATCTTTACACGCCTTTATTAACCAAAAATGAGGTTTTCGTGCAGATTATACACATAAAAAAATCTACCTGCATTGGAAAAATAGGACAATTTAGTGCTCGCCTCGGAAGTCAATGCTCCAGAGTCATCCACAGCGTGTACCGTAACTCCGCAACAGTTCTCCTTGGGCAAGTTTGAGAACATGTGGCACCCAAAATTTGTCGTTTTACTGAGAAACGACTAGTTTTTTTTTAGTTTCGGTGGGTAACTCGAACGTTGATTGGGTACAATGAAATTGTGGAATGAACATCAAAAGTTATTTAAATATATTTAAATTTCGAAATTGGAGAAACAGTAGTGTTAGAACAAATTTTCATATTAAAAACCATTTGAGCGATTTTTTTATTCTTTAAAATTGGAACTATTACGAAAATTCAAAATCCTGGAATTTTTTATCAATTCGAGCAGCGATCCTAGGGTAAGTCTGTCGCACCAGATTTTTTCACGTATTTCCAATTTTTGAAAACTAAACCTTGCTCTTTTTAAAAAACTCTTTTTCCTCCATTTCTGACCTTGGTAAAGCTCTTATTTTTCAGTTGATCATATCCGATTTGAACTTTGAAAAACCTCTCGCAACTGCTCAAAATCTAATTAATGAGATATCCACGAATTTTTTTTTATGGAAGCGAACTTTTTTCATTCATCAAAAACTAACTTGGAAACGGTCTCCTCGGCTGTCAAGGCATTCCCATCCAAAGTTACCAAGGAAAGACGAAACTTTTGCTGAAAATATTCAGTTTTCAAGACTTGGAATCGAAAATCCGGACCATCGGTTGATTTGATTTGTAACAAACGGCGAGTTTCTCTTCGGAAAGCTGAAGTTGGCCGACGATTTCGACAAAAGAACTCATGGCACTTGGCGGCATTTGGTAGGTCGTCGACCGGGTGACCAGGACTTCGTTCCGATACGAAAGGGCCAATCTCACCTGGAATCATACGTCGGCTGGATCTCACTCCGGCTTTTTACACGCTGAGCCCAAAATACAAAATTTGGTGAGTTTTGGAGAGCCTCGGACAGATAGCGTCAGCGCAGGCATTTTTTCAGATTTTAAAAAAAAAGAGCAAATAGTAGTTCCAGAGGGACGAAATCAATAACCTCACTGAAAGAAAAAATAAAGAGCTCGTTCTATGACCCAAAAAATTCGCAAGAAAAGGTTATTGCGACTTTCAAGGGAAATTTCGCATCAAAATGATTTTTTTCAAGTTGATTGTTACCTCGGAATCGGTTCAGTTTTCTTGTACCTGTTGCTATTGAAAGGAAAATAACAGAAGAGCTGAACTTTCTTCGGAAAAATAATTAGGACTATAAAAATTAGAATGTTTTCAAAAAAAGCTCCACAGGAATCTGATACACAAACTAAATCCAGAATAATCGACTGAGAATTTTTAAGCAGCATTTAATAATATTACGAAAAAAACAAAAAAAGGCCAATCTTGATGAAAAAAAAAGATGATAAAGTCAGAAAAAAAGAAAAATAAAAACTGACCTCAACATTGGAAGCCTTTTCGAAAGCGATAGAAATTTCTGAAGACAGAGACCCGTTTCGAAACGACTTAAAATCAATTTAAAAATGTATTTCATTCAAAATATTTTCTGAAACAAACCCCGGCCGGTAGAGAACTCCATCGCCATCCAAGTTTCCCATGTAAAGGTCGAGTCTGAGCGAACCAAAAAACGTCCGCGGTCGCTATCTGGAAAAATATTGATTTCTACTGAAATTTGAAAAAAAAATGAATACCTCTTGTAGGTCTTGTTGGACGGTTTCGGGGAATTCCCATTTGAGCTTCATTTTCTCCTCGACAATCTCCATATTTATGCGGGCTTGCATGAAAACGGCTGTAAATATTATCATTTTGTAGGTTTTTTTGCATTTTTCTCATTGAATAGCTAAAAGAAAGGCTCAAAGAGTTGCGTCTTTCAAAGGGCAACAAAAATGGATTTGAAAACCTCTCTTGAAACCGTTTTCCGTGTGGATCTTGTGTTTTTCTTTCTTTCTCTACCTTGAGCCTGCGACAAAAAGTACTGGAGAACGGCGTGACATCCTTGATGGCACGAGAGAGACACAACTTCTCCTTCCACACATTTTTCGGCACAATGAGACTCTCGTTCGTCAAGATCTGCACAGCCTTGCTTGCACTAAATATTAATTCATGAATTCATATAGACTTTGCTTTGAAATTACTGAAGTTAAACATCTTTCGTCGGTACAATTTGATAAGGCTGACCAGGATATTTCTGACCGTTGCAGAGGGTAAGCCTGAAACCTTAGAATTTCCAATGTTATTCTTTTTTTGGGTATTCTTGAAGAAAGGCTTGAATAAAGTTCATAAAGCTCTCCAGACGACAGACCTTTTTATGAATATTTTAAGTCCCACTGCGAGTTTCAAAGTTGAGAATATACTTTTGAAAAAAGTACAAAATAATCAACGTCTTAAATAACCAATTAACATCCAAAGCTTTTTAGAATTTGAAAAAGTTGACGAAGCCAGAAAAAAAAAATGGTGAAACACGCTTCAAAGAAACATTAACTGCTACGAATTAACTTTATTGCGCAATTACTTTGAACGGGTCCTTGAAAAAAAACTTCTAAATCATTCACAAACACTAAAACGTTCAAAAAACAGCCTACAAAGCCATGAAACTAAATTTGTACTAGGAATTTTCGAAAAATGGTTCTAAAGCGTGGCAGAAAAAAATTGAGCCTAATAGACTTTTAACCAATCACATTTCTTCGATTTTTTTTTTGTCCTTTTTGATGGAAAAACTGTTGCAAATAGAAAAACCTTTAAAGAATAAAAAAATAATGATGTGACGAATATTTAAAAAAACCAAACCCTAAAAAAATGGTTTTTTTAAAAACAAATTTTTGGGAGCACGCTTTAAAAAAATTATTGAAAATCTTCATTGCGGCCTAGAATATGTTTTTCCTTGGAAAAAAAATAAACGAAAAGTACGAGAAATTCGCTTATGCCGTGTTCAAAGTAATTTCCGCGAAATGCGAAATGGTCTCTGACCCTCCAAAATTCAGTTATCTTTCTCTTTCTCTGACGGCTATTTTGAATTTCGCGGAATCACTTTGAACACGGCATTAATCTCGTAAGAGCAAGCACCGAGACGCTACTTTGCAGACAAAAGGTCACAGTAATTTGAAAAAAATAAACTTAAATCACCAAATTTCTATCATTGCACTGCGCTTGGCACGTCTTCAGTGATGAAGAAAAAACCGTTGCAGCTTCACAACCAGACGACACCAACGAAACAACAAAAGTGAAGAAATAAACGTTCATCACATGGAAAATGGCTGATTTGGCGTAGTAGTAGTAGATTTAAGATGGTATCGAAATGAAATCAAGTCAAGCCGACGACAGCCATGAACGGTCAGCAGCTGGAGGATTGATAGGCGATGATAGCGACCGGCCCTGAAGACGTCACACACGAGAAACGGGTGGAGAATTCAGACGGAGAAATCGAAAATATCTCGAGCGGCGATCAATTTGCCAACCGTTTGGCCCCATTCACTACTCTTTTCTGAATGTCATTTGCACCTCCGAATGTTCTGTTTTTATTGAGTTGAACTTCAGTTAATGTTTCTCTGAATGAGGGTTTGGGTTTTCTAAAAAAAATCTGTTCGATTGAAACATTTTTAAAAAAACCTCCGCGAAGAATAATCGAATCCTTCCGGATCCCACTTCTAAAAAAAGACAAGAAAAATACACTGTGTTTCAGGAAGAAAAGGCTTGATTTTATTCAACTTTTTGCGAAAGTTATGAAATTTTAAATTGAAATGTTTTTTTGAAAAAGATTTCTTTAAAAAAACTATTCAAAACTTGGATCCCGAAAATTTCTCTGGTTCAGAGTTCATTTTAGAGGAAAGAAATCATCTCAATTTTCATCACTCCTTAGGAGCTCCAGAATGTTCCCTATAGGGGCAACCTTGGAGGCCTTGGAAGATCCCTTCTAGATCCACCTATTTCCGTTGTGGCCCAGCGCCTCCGGTATTCGTACGGCTTGCCTTACGTAAATTGACAGGAGATTTATCATAGGGTGCTCCCCGGTTGAATTTATATGAAAACTTTGCTGAAGTGTATTTTAGGACCTCCGGATTGCAGAACAAAAAAAACAAATTTCTCTCAAGCAAAACACGTTTCCTATTTAGGGGTCCCTATAGAGTTTTTATTTTCAAAATTAAATAATTGTATAGCCTGTATTCCACGACCTTGAATTTCACCGAACGACATTCCGCTTTTCCGCTGCGTGCGTTCGCGAAGCGTCTTTCGAATCTAGGTCACGCTTTCAATTGATTGTTACTGCTGTGGGAGCACATGAAAGTAGAGTACGAAAGAATGCAGCCTAACAGCTCAGTTGCTCTCTGAACCCGGACCGGGCCAGGCTGAGCGAAGCTTAAAGCAAAAACAAAAGCTCAAGTTTTCTTCAAGTCGAACATTACCTTTTTTTACGACAAAATCATGTTTCTTGTTATTTTTTTATCGGTGAGAAAAATTGTGTTTGGATAAAAAAATATTTTTTTCATAAAATTTCAAATGTTTCAAAGCCTGGCCTGGCCCAAGCCTGCGTAGGCGTCTTCGCAAAAAACAGTTCAGTCAGACGAACAAGCCTGGACCCTGGTATCGTGAACCGTACGCGCCCTGGACGTTTCTAAGCATTTCTAATATTACTTCAGCATTCTTAAATGTTTACTAGAATGTCTAAGAAACGTCCGAGACGAGTCCGATTTGCGTTACCGAGGTCCGAGCAATTAAAGTCTTCATTCTTTGTACTAGCGAGGGGCGACTTCAGCCATTGTGAATTTACTGATTTCTTTCCTCTTTTGCAATTCAACACACAAAAAAACCCTCAGCTGCTTTTAAGAGCATTGGGCTGGTACCTGGTATTGTCTAGCCGGATTCGCAGTTGATCGAACTGCATATCGTTTGAACGTCGTCGCAAACTTTATTAAGGAAGGCGGTTTCCTTTTCATCGCGAATACTGAATTTTCAAAGATAAAAGACTTTAAATTGCGGAAAAGAGAATATAAATTCAAAAGTTGAATCAGTCGCTGCTCTCGTAAAGTTAAATTTTTTTTTTTACGCAGCCAGAGTGTCTACGGCCTTAAATCTAAATCGACTATTTATCGCGATCGCTAGAAAAATTTGTACACACTTAAGGGCATAGGGGCAGTAAAAAACGGTGTTTCAGTTCAAAGCCGTACTTTGTAGAGTTTTTCATTGCGAACCGAATGGTGAACTTGGAAACGTACAGAAGTTCCTAGTTTTGGAGAAAAAATAATTTAAAGTCGGAGAGAGGAAAGCTGGAGTTCCCGCAAAAAAGGGGGTTTTGCAGTAAAGTCGCTCTATGGACAACAGGCAAGCCTGTTGTCCATATCTCCCCTGGCTGGCGCGACTTTGCGGCGAGGATTTCGCAGGCTTGCGCCGTGAATTTCGCGAGTATGTGCACATGTTAGCCGCAAGCTTGCGCGTAGAGGCGCAAGGGTTGCGCGAATTATCCATGGAGCACGCATTCGTGATATCCTTTTCCTCTCTCCTCCTCGTCCTTCCTCTTATTTTCCTCTTTTGAGTTACAACGCTCAAAGGTCGCCTGTATTTTATTTAACTCAAGCTTTTTTTCTTTTTATCCATAGAATTGAATTTTCAGCTTGATTTAAACAAAAAAATACAAGCAACCTGTGAGTGTCGCAGCTCAAAGAGGCTGAACAAACACAGAAAAACTTGGAAAAAAACTATATTTATTTCTAAAATGAACTAATTTTTACACTTTACAACAATTGAAGTCTTTAAGATGCATTGGATTTCATGGTATCAATCAATAATGAAAGGAAAAAAAGATAACGTGAGAATGGTAAAAATTTAAGCTATGTTTAATAATTACAATGACTCGAATTATTTCCAGTAATAAAAACAACCGGGGGTTTTTGCAAAATAGTAAGATTCAGAAGACCCAGAAGTTCAGAAACAGTGAAAAAAGTGAAACATGGAAAAAAATTTCTGAAACGCAGAAATATCAAAAAAATACATCATGCCATACAATAAAAAATTTCCACTTGCAAGAGTTCTGATACTTGTTCAATCTAATGAAAAGTAGTATTATAAAAAGTATTTTTTTCAAGTCTTTTTCTGTGCAGTTTAGTGAGCCTATTTTTCTGCAAATTTTGAAACCCAGTAGATAAACTTTTTTTTGTTTTCAAGCATCCCTATCCAGGTCTATCAACTAAAAAAATGTTGCAACACAAAAATGCGAGTCTAATGAGATGTCCGCAACATCGCGTGCACGGCTACTGTAAACAATTGTCTGTATACCGATCCAAAGCATTTTTCAAAATTACAGGCGGGAAAGTAAATTCGCGTTTTTTTTTTCAAAAGTAGTCACATCTGTAATTTTTTCGATAGTACAGTTCGATTCGCAATGAAAAACTACATAAGATAACGCTTTCACCTGAAACCCCGTTTTTTACTGCCCCTAAACAACCGCCGAGCACTAAGAATAACTGACGAGATAAACGCGAGGTCGGTGGCGGTACTTTGACGAACTCGCAAACATGTCGCTTTTTTCTAGGCGCGATCTCGCATTTTTCTGGGCGCGAGCTCGCATTCTTCTCGGCGCGACCTCGCATTTATCTTGCATTTCGGAAATTTTCAAAATGCGAGAGAAATGCGAGCTCGCGCCCAGAAAAACGCGAGACCGGCGCGAGAAAAAATGCGAGATGTTTGCGAGCTCGTCAATGTACCGCCAGCGTCTCGCATTCATTCATCTCGGCAGTTATTCTTAGTGGAGTCTGGGGCGAGAGTTTCTAACAACCACATGTTTTTTAAATGTTTTATTTTTTTCCGCAGCCAGAGTGTCTATCTGGCTCCAATTCAGTGTTAATAAGGTCAAGCCTTCTTTTTTTTCTCATCATAAATTTTTTTCGAACTAAAACCTACGAAACCTCACATCAATGATTCCAGTAGTAGTCGGTAGTTTCTCCAATACGCTTTTTGTTTCCAATTTCAAAAAGAATGCTCCAGACGTTTTTTTTCTGAAGAAAAAGTAATTTTTGAAAAAGTTTCAAATATCGAACTGCACTATTTGGAGTTGTCGTTCGTCGATTCTCCATGGGCTGATCCGAAAAATTTCGTTGAAAACTTCCTGCAATAATTTCAACATTGAAAAAAGCAACTCGATTGAAATATTAGAATTGCAATGTTTTGCCTAGTTAGCTATGGAATGTCTCAAGTAAGTTAGAGAAGCTTTATCCAGTCAGAAGAACTAACTAGGCGGTGCGCTAGAGCTCCGCTCGGCATTGTCAGAACTAAGAATCCTAGACGCCGGAAGCCGTGACGGCCTTTCCCGCGGGGGTCCCATCATCGCTTTGTCAGCATCGCGCTGCCAACAGTTTGTGCTTCAGCCACTGGAATGGGCTTCGGCGTGACTTTGCGTATCCAATTTGCAAGCAAAAAGGATCGGCACTCCGGGAGTCCCGCGGGCCTAATCTACTAGCGCTTACAACTCAGATACTTATTTTGAAAACTAGAAGTTTTATGAAGTTTGAAAACTCATCTTGACGTTGACGGCAGAAACAAGACGGAGTGATGAGGAAAGCAAGAATGACATTCGAATCCAGGTCGTACAAGAAGAAATGGCACGTTGCCACGTGGTTTTTTTGCAAGTGTCTTACGACATTAGAAAAATGACACTTTACCACGAAGTTCACGTTTTTTTTTGCAGGTAATGAAATATTTGTTCTGTGTAAATTTTGGGTCATGTGACGCAAAAGGTAGAGCTAGTTTTGGGCTCTCTAGTTTATTTTTCCGCACTTTTGTATCGTTTTTTGTCTTCTTTTAGAAACATAATTCGTGTAATTTAGAGCCAAATCAAATTCTCTGATGCAGTTTGAAGTGTTTATTATATATTAGTTTTTTTAAAAATGTTTTTTTCTAAATTAATTAAGCATTCCGCCATACAAGGTTTTTTTCAGAATTTCTGCTTTCTTTCTCTTAAATGTTTCATATTCATAAATGCTTTTTCGATGGGAGGTAATTTACCTATCGAAAAGGGCATGAAAAACTCCCTAAAAGATGAAAAAACTCGGACATTGGTAACGCGGAACGGACTCGAATCGGACGTGTCGGGGCATTTCTAGTGACCACTTTAGTAGCGTCATCATTCTTAAGTTATCCCTAGACATGCTCAGAAACGACCGGAGGACGTCCGTTTCGCGTTACTAATCTCCGAGAAGATATAAGAAAAAAAAAAGTTAATCAAAGAGGTGTGAAAAAGAGCGCCCCAATAATGAATCTCTCGTCGATTTACGTGAGGCAAGCTGTACCATTATCGGAGGCTCCAGCTTTCCTTTTGGCTTCATTACTTTTCCTTGCGTTCTTTTAAAAATCAGTGTTTTTTTTTGTGTAAAACAGAGAACTTCATTTTTTCATGTATCGAAAATATTTATCTCAATCTTCATAAATTGTTAGTGACTCAAAGTTTTGTCAAGATGAACCTGTTTAGATCGACGAGATCATTAAAATTTCCGTGAACCGATGTTATGAAAAATCAATAAATTCGGATAAGGTTTTTAAAAAGCGCCACTCAGCTCGACTATAAAGCTCAAAATCTCATAAATAAACGGAAATATACAAAAAATATATGGTAAACTGCATGCAAGTATAATTAATGAGAACAAAAATAAAAGTTAGAGAGGATCTCAGAAGAAGGGAAAGTGGGCAATGTCGAGCAACTGATTTTGTGATATGCTGAGTGATTTGGTTTATGAAGGTGGACTAATCTTAAAAATTGGGAGAAAATGAGGGTCCCTGAAGAAAAAAAAGAACAATTCTCGAAGCAAAATGTGCAAGGAAACGAGTAAAATGGGGTGATATGACAAAACTGGGCAGATTCTGTTTCTTCTGGAGTTCTTTTCGAACCTTTGCATATTGAAGAAAGGGTTTTCGCAGCAACACTTTCGAAAAACTCTCGCGAATGAATGAATGAACTATTTTGTCATACACCCAAAAGTTACACGATCAGAGTTGATATGGCAAAAAAATCACAAAAAATAACAGCAAAAGTCAGTACAATCCAGACTTGTGTAAGTTCTGCTGGATAATCATGGAAATAACAGAATCGAGAATTTTTTGCACCTGATCCGTGTCCGTGGCGCACGTTTCATGTACGAACATGTTCTTTTTCGGATTATTTGACAAATTCTCAAATTTGTGCTTAATGTATTTGACGGCGTCGTCATAGGTCTGTGGTCCTGAAATTTTGAAAGTTAGTTTTTTCGAAACGAGAAAAAAATTAACCTCGATATTCAGGGAAAGCTGTCGTTATGTTGACCCTCTTTATTTTCTCCGCGAACAAATCCTTTTTATTCAGGAATAAAATAATTGATGTGTTGTGGAACCAGCGCGAGTTGCAAATCGATTCAAAGAGCCGCATCGACTCGATCATTCGATTCTGAAATTCAAAGTTTCTTTTCTCCGAAAGTAAATCCTTTATAGAATGTATTTTCTCCTATCGTTGCACTAATGTTTTCGGGTAAATTAGAATCAGGATCGGCAGGTGACATTATTTTTGGTTTAATCAGGAGAAAATAAGTGCAAGCGCTACAATTTAAAGAATTTCTCAGGCTTAATTGCATGTGAATTTTTGCCAACAGTGAGAAAAAAACAAGTTTGAATGTGTCTAGGGAAATTTAATACATTTACTTGCGAGAACGTAGTTTTGCAGGAAATGTTCCGCCTCGGCGAGTTCAAAATGATCAAATTCAATTGATGTCTCAAAGAGACGATTTTTTAGTGCTCTTTCGAGTTTTTCAAGATCTGTGCGCCTTCAAAAGCATTAGCAAAAAACTTCAAACAATCTATATCAACGGAAAAATGAAAAATCAGACGAAACAGGAAAAAAATCCAACAAAAAAAAAAAATTAAAAGCAGAAGTGCGCCCTGTGGCGAAGAGGGAATTTTTTTCAAAAATATCAGAATTTTTTTCATTTTTTTCTTCATTTTTTTGTTCGAAAAATTTTGCTGTATATTAGTTTTCTAATGGTTTTCGGGCTCTTAAGGTATTCAAAAAAAGATGTGGTTTTTGTGGCATAATGTGAACTTATTTATAAAGAAAAAAATGTGTAGTTTCTTTTTATTCAGAATGTTACCGTTGTTTCGTCCTCGAAGAGAACTTCGTCGTACTCGCTCACGGCGGCGATAAAAATTATGGCATTAACGTCTTCAAAGCAATGAATCCATTTTTTGCGCTCCGATCGTTGACCGCCGACGTCGAAAACACTGCAAGAGGTTTTTTCGTCATTATTTTCTTTTACTTTTACAAAGTTAAAGTTCTGGCAAACAGCTCTTTTCCCGACATTACTCGAGGAAATGACGATTATTGGGCTTTGAGAGCTCTTGGCGGAAGTTATTAGTAACCAGAAAAAAGGGTTTTGATTATTGTTTTCTGGGCACGATCATTGTTCAAATTGTTACTTTGATTTTTTTAGGAGGGTTATAATTTGATAGAGTATTAGTTACCGATATTATACTTACAATAACTAAATGAAAAATAAAATTAATAAACTTTTCAATGTCAATATGAGATTTGTAAAATTTAAGTGAGTTTACTCTTTTTTTATTTTCTTTGTATTGATACGCTAGCATTGACCTTTTTAAACTCAATTTAATGGTATTTTTTTACACGAATCTTGTATTTTTTTCAAGAGAGTCAATATGGATAATAACTTACCGGAAATGAACTTTTTTAATAACAAACGAGACTTCGACGATTCCCGTCGTTTTAGTTCGTGTCAGTAAAATGTCCATTTCCGTTGGTTTGTAGTTAGGATTGGCGATTCTCTCAATGCTTTCGAAGAAGCTGAAAATGTTCAATTTAGGAAAAGATGATATTATCTGAGTAGAACACAGATTAAAGATTTTTCTCGAGAAAAGTTATTTCTAAAGATTCATTTCGACCCTTTTTAGTGATTCCTCGAAGTTTAAAAATCCTATGAATTTCATTGAAATTTTTTTTCTAAAAATTTAGAAAATGAGAAACTCATTTTGAGGGATCACTATTAATAAAAGACTCCTGAAAAATCGTTTTTGACTTCAGAAGTGACCACTTACAGTTTTAATTTTTCAAAACTTGAGCTCTGAAAGTGACTATTTTAGTGGTTAGTTTTTATTCTGCAACCAAACACTTTACTCACAATTGACTGCTTTCATGGAGATGACATTCCAATCGTTTCTGCTCGTAAATCTCCTTCACGGCTTTATCGTTCCAAAGATTCTGCAAGACATATTTTTTCAATAATTTTCAAATTTATGCTATTTTTTCACATAAATGTGTGGAAAGTACAAGGTAGTGAGTAAATAATGTTTTTGACCTTGATTACAGTATTTTCGAGCCTTTCAAGTGGAAATGAATATAGTTTGAGCGGAAATGAAATCTTGGGTAAATAGTTGATTCATCGCTGGTTTGGTTGATTATTTGAAGAGTCAGTGGTTTTTAAGGAAAATAGTCTCGGAAAAATTGGCGAAATAGTCCTTTTTTTCGATAAGAGAGACTGAAAAAAGTCAATCGAAATCGATGCTCGAACTTGTCCACCAATGATGAATTTTCTTCATGGAGCACTCGAAAAACTGCAGAATTTAGCCACTTCTGTGCTCAATTTTTTTTTTTCGTATTTCAAAGAGAAAAAAGACTTTTCTTGATTTCAAAGTAGGAACTTTTCTAATTCTTCTTTTTTAGCACCTTTTTAACTCCGTGAAACCTCTTTTTAACAAAAAAGCATAATAAAAAGGCCCTTTTTGAAACTTTTTCAAGGTCTACTCGGACTTTTTTGGCTGATTTTTATCGTTATATCTTTCATGCCGAAGCACCTTCAGAGCGACTGTGAGTTCTGTAGTGAAGGCCTCAGATTCGCGACCTTGTTTCAGAATGTCCAAAATGACACGAGCGTCGGACTGAAATGGGAATTATTATTATCAGGTTGGGCATTTTAGGGGAAAAAAACTTACCTCACGATCGTGATTCATGAAATTGATTCGATAGGTCGACATTGCCTTGAGAAGTGCGGCCATCGCTGTGATTGTGTTGTTGTAGACTATCTGGAAAGAAAAAAATGAAATGGATTCCTTTATGAGTAATGTTTTCAAACCTTTCTCTGCTGTATCATCTCATCGTCGGTGAACCCCTTGTTGTGAAGTATCCGCATTTGTTTGAGAACTGTCGATTTACCACATTCTCCAGCTCCTAGAAAAAATATTTGAAGAGTTTGAAGTGCTTTTTTTTAAACTTGAGGGGTTCATCTAAACTCACATTTTTAATATCTAGACGCTGTTTGAGTTGAATTTATTCAAAAGTTTGCAGCCTCTTTTTTTCATTTTTTTCCCAAAAAATTTTTTTTATTAGGTTTATTTCATAGGAAACTTTCAATTCACACGCCTCCAAATACTCTGCAAAAAATCCGTTTTGAAAATTTTAGGTCAAAATCTTCCATGAAAAGTTCGAGTTTTGAAAAGGTACTGCTGTTCACACCTTTCTGCTTTTATTCTCAAGTCCAGAAATTGTTAAGTAAGCCTTCTTTTCCAAGTGATCTTGAAGAACAGCTTATTTTAATTTCTCATACTAACCAAGAAGTAGAAGCTTGACAGTCCTTTCATCAGCATGTTGAGTAAGTTTGATCTGTTTGTCGATCTCGCGGCTTTTCAAAGAGCCGACTTTTTCCTCGTCGCTTTGGCACAATCCCATTCTAAAATGCTTGAACATTCTAAAAAATTAATGAATGCAGAGGAAGCAACAAATCGCGACGGAATATGACAAGACAAGGAACAAATAACGAAATCGCATTCGAAATAGACAAAAAACAACTTCCTGAACTATTCAAAGGATCAGATATTCAGATTTTGAGAGGCTTTTCTGTGGGCTTTTAAATACTAAAGAAAGCTGTTTGGTGAAAAAAGACCTAAAAATAATTTTGCTCGAGTCATTTAAAGGCGTATATTCAGGGCTTTTCTTTTTGCCATGAGACATGGATAGAAGCAGCCTATGCGCCTTTAAACATCTCACAAGAAAAGTTAAAATGCTTTCTGATTGACACTTTGATGAAATTTTGCTGAGGAATATTATAAGACATCCTGGTTTAAAATCAGACGAAAAAACTGCGCTTTCCGCTTTTTAGCAGTGTTATAATGCCTCAAAGATTTAACCTCATAATTTTTGTGTATAAAGCTAATTTTTTTTTGTGTTTTTGAGACATAGAACTACTAAAATGCGGAAGGCTCCGTTTTTTCGGAAGGTTCAAAATCATGGGTTTTCTGAAGTACCTCTCAGCAAAGCTTCATCAGAACTTCAACCTTGTCAGCATAGAGACAGATAAAGACAATCAATGAGCGGAAATTGCTTGGTGGTCTTCTGCAACACTGCATATAGCGGAAAGCCCATGCGATCCAAAAACTGGGCACGAAAATTTCCTAGGCGGCACAATTATATTAGGTAGGCGGAGCTCGACCGGTGGGGTGCTCGAATTAGCGCCCCGAGGACAAAGCCCACTGCATTGGTATGCAGCCGCTGAACGCCCACAAAGGGGAGGGCAGTGGAAGCTTTTTTGTAGGTTTCATATTGAGTTCAGTACAAAAAATGAGTTGACAGTAGAGAGAATGGATGTTGACAAGGAAGGGAAAAATAGTTTCGAACATTTGAACAAAGTTAAAGCTTTTCTGTATGTTCAATACAGGATGAAAGTAAGGATGGGATTCAAGGAAACTAAAAAAAAAGATTATAAAGTTTTAAATTTGATTAATTTAGTAGATGTATTTTTTTTTTGTGAGTTTGGTTCAAAAGGAGTTTGAAAATAGTGAGAATGGAGTTGATGGAGATAGAAAAAAAAAATCGAAAACGTACAAAAACTAATTGAAAAATGAGAGGATGGACGTGGATAAAGAATGAGGAGAGAGCTTTTAATACTTCAATGCATCGGTAGCTCTTTTGTAGGTTTGATACAGAGTGAAAGTGAAAATGGAGATTGATAGTGGTTGGAAAAGAGCTTCTAATTTTTAGAATACAGCGGCGATTGCAGAGAAAGCGTTTTTGTATGTTTGGTGGCCGGTGAGTTTTGAAACTTTCGATTCTAATACGAACAGCGTTGTTTTGAGAAGAAAATAGAGGTTGATAATGAAAAAGGACAGATTTAAACTAAAATGAAACTAATTAATCTAGAGAGATAAACAAGCAAAGTACAACGGATAATTGATTTTTTTTTTAAATAAGTTTTTGGCGAATACCAATCTCAAAGCTAATCTCAAAAAAATCAAAAAAAAATTTTCAAACTTATTCTTTTTCGAAATGCTCCAAGCTGAAACTACAGAAGCTTTTGAGAAAAAAAGGGTTTTTCCCGATTTTTGAATAAAATTGAGTTGAAGCGACATAAATTATCAGAAATGAGAAAGTTCTTCATAAATACTATTTTGGTAAAAAAGTACTTTCGTATTTTTTCAAAATAGTTCTTACAAGCAAAATAAAATTTTTCGATTTGAAAAGAAGTTATTTGGGAATATTAAACGAAATAGAACTGAAGTGTTTAACGAATCATTTTTATGAAAGAAGAAGTTTTCATAAAAACTGATGGCATTCTGGAAATAGGTTTCTAGCGAAGTGAGTGACCTGAAGCAATTGGAAGAAACTTCTGGAAACTAAAAAGTATGGGAAAAGTTTTTTTGAGTTTAAGTAAAACGGAACAACTAAAAAGTCTCACGTTTGCTTCGAGAAACGATGCAGAGAATTTTTTTCGAAAGAAAAATTGTATATAATCAAGTATCTTCTGTTTTTTTATTTGAACACCCGATTTTTGCAAAAAAAAAAGTCATTCAAGTTCAAACATGCTAATAGTTATAGTTATCATGAGAAGTTGTTGGTCGCATTTGGAATGACTAAGCACGTAGCCACCTCGGAACCGTTTCTGTAAGGCACATCCATGGCTCGCGCCAATTGGCACGAAGAAACATTAGGGCAAGCTTTTTCCAACCGCAACGCGACCGCGACGCTCCGAGTCATTCCAAATGCGACCATGACGTCGAAAGTCTGTGAACCATGCAAAAGAATAAACAGTTGAAACATGTGAAAGGCGGAAGAACAACATGCTCTGTAGAAAAAATCTTTGTCTCCCGTTTGGCGGGGCCTTTTAATGAAATCCAGTGCAAACAATGCGTTGTTTTGCATCGAAATGAAACGTTGAATGGCAACAATCCTGCGTTTGATGTAGAAAAAGTGGAAGAATCGGATGGAGTTAAATCCTCTAGGGAACTGACGTTTTCCTAAGTAATCAGTTGATAATCTAGGTAAATTAAATCATACCTCGAACGCCATTTTTCTAACACAAATATTACATTTAATTGCATGATACAAAGAAGATGAGTAATGGAAATCTAATGAGAAAGGTCATTGGAGACGTCTAGAAACTTTTTTTTTGAGGAAGCTACGTAATGATATCTGAAAAGGATTATTTGGGTAAATTGATAGGGAAAATTAGAGTTTTCATTTTGAAAAGTTTATAGGTTGAAAAGAAATTTCGACTCGAAAGACTGAAATAGTGATAACCCTGGTGACGTGTTTTTTATAGAAAAAGCTATTTAACGTTCGCTGGAAGAGATGAAGGAAAGTGTGCTCCGCGATAAGCTCCGAAATTATTCAAAATTTTCCTCTTACCTAATTAATTTTAGGCAAAAAATAGAGAAGGAACGTTTTAGAATGTTTTTTTAGTAATTTTTTTAATGTCGGTGGTGATTTATTGACCAGAGATCGTAAGAAAAATTGTAGAATCTTAGTCTGAATATAATAATAATTAATCAAAAAAATATATATGTTAGTTGAGCAGAGAAAAAGCGGAGAGAAGACGCTTATGGAAAAATATAACTTTCCCAGAACTTTTCTAATTTTTTTTCGTGGAAAATCTGGGCAATCACTGAAGTCGGAGAAAAACGGCTTTTTCAGGCTTGGAGAGGTTTTTTTCTTCCATGGAAAAAAAAAGAAAATATTTGAAATGAAATGGTTGCTCAATGGAGCGAACTTGCATTTTCCAGGTTCCGGCTGAAGTTTCTCACCTTTTCCGTCAACTTTTCCGTCGTACTTTGTTCACGAAACTTTTTAATTGGTACCTGAAGAAGCCTTGTAGCACAAGGATTACTGCTACGGAGAGAAAAAAATATAAAAAGCCCCTACTTTTTTCTTCAAAAGAGAAGAACTTATTTGAAAAGATGAATATTTTCTTTTAAAACGAAGGTTTTCAGGAGTTTACTATGTGCCTTCAGAGAAATTTCTTGGTGTTGAAGAATAAAATTATAGACTTGAACCAGCATCTCGAAGCTCCAAAAACAATGGTTTTCGAAAAGAATACTTTCAAGACTCCGCCCTGCGCCTTTAAAACTGTCTCCAAGATCTACGTTAATAGAATGAGATAGAATATAGTTTGAATGAAAAAGGACAATGATAGAAACCGAGAAGGATTTTTGTTTACCCTGGCTGACCCGAAAAGAAGTTGAATAAATGCCGCGATTTCCAAATTAAGCCTCGTTTGACGTTAGCCCCCGCTCTGTCGCAATCGTATTACCTTCGAAAGAGAAAAAGTTATTTTCTCTTTGGCTTATGACAGGTGCGCAAGAATAGATAGATTTGGGAACGGAAATTGAAAAAAGAAGTAAAGTATTGTGTTTAACGAATGTCTGATAAGGGAAGGATGATCATACATCGGATTTTCGGGTCTTTAAAGATGAGAAAGGATTAAGGAAGGTACCCTTGAGCTAAGTACAATTTCTGGACTAACCCGAAATTGGGCTATCTGTTTTTAAAAGAAATCTAATCAATATGGATGATTAAAAAGTACTTTTTGGCTTTTGAATGAGGAGAGGAGTGAGATAACTGAAGGCGTTGAAGGAGATACTTTTTCCACTCTCAAAAGTTGGACTTTTGCTCTTTTTTTTACGGTAAAATAGCTCGATCGTGATCTAGAAGTATGATCGTAAACCACATTTCAGAAAACAAGAGACAGAAAGAAGATTTAATTTTAAATGACGACTAATAAAAAGCTGAAGTCGTTTTTTCGAAGAAGTTCAGAAATAAAAATAAATCATACCGCCTTTTTTTCCAAATCAGCCTGAACCCAAATGGCGCAGAACCAGTCTGCTCCTAACTTTCAGATGAATCTGTATAGGACAGCCCGACACTTCAACTTCGAAAGGTTCCTACGCAACTTTCTGGGGATTTTATTTTTAACTATACCAATTTAGATTGAGAATCAAAGACTAGATTTATTCAATTTCCAAAAACAAAAAAACCATGGGACAAACGCAATTATTCCAACAAAAAAAAAATTCAATGTAAAAAAAAGGAAATTATAATTGAAATCTTCTATTTTTTATTTTTTCGTAAATTAAAAAAAATTCAGTTTTTTTTTCCAGTTTTAAGGAGGTTTTCGAAAGTTTGAGAGCACTGGACGATTTTATTGAGTTCTTAGCTCTCCGAGATTTAAAAAAAGAAATTTGTAAAACTTTGAATCTTCATAATAAAAAAACATCGTTGTTAGTTTGGCGTATTTTTTTCAGGGGAAATCAGAAAAAGGAAGGTTTTTTTCTAACTGAAAAAAACTCGATTTGGTTTTTTTCATCGTTTTGAAAAAAATTCAAAGTTATTTTTTTGAAGTTTCAACTATAATAAATCAGGATTCATTGCCAAAAAAAGGTTTAAAGAAATCAAAAAAA